ACTTCTGTTGCGGCGATGTCTTCTTCCTGCGCTATCTGGAACGCGACCAGCAGCAGGCCAACAACAATACCAACGTGCGCTGCAATCTCGAGCCATTTAGCCACTGAATTTTGTCCTACGGTCATTTCGATAGATTCCGCAAGTAGGCTGCCGTATACCTGTCACCCCGCCGCTGGAAAGTGCTGTGCCATCGCCTGCAACATCTGCGGCACTACTTCCGGAGGCATGTTATGGCCCATACCCTGATATACAATAAACTTGGATCCATCGATCATTTCATGAGTGTGTTTACCGTGTTCTTTTGGCAACAGATTATCGTCCTCGCCATGTAAAACCAGCGTTGGCGCCTTAATGCGAGACACCGCTTCCGACCGGTCACCGGCAGAAACAATGGCCATTAACTGGCGCGGCATGGCGTCTGGGAACATGCCCATCTCTTCCAGCTGCGCCTGCACATCCCCCTCAGAATCGCCAAGCTCTAACAGATCATCACCCGCCCCGCCCTGCGCTTCCGGCAGGTGCGGTGCACCCGTGGTAGACATGATCGACACTAACGACTGGGTTCTTTCGGGGTAATCTGCTGCGATAATCTGCGCAATCATGCCGCCCATGGAGGCGCCGACAATGTGCGCGCGCTCTATTTTCAACTCGTCCAGTACCGCAATGGCATCCGCCGCCATATCATTGAGACTGTAAGGTGCATCAACGTCGAGCCCTATGGTCGCTTTCAGCATCTGCCACCACAGCGTTGGCTCGCCCAACTCATCCAGCCGCGCAGACTCACCGGTATCACGGTTATCAAACAGCACCACACGATAACCCGCATCAATAATGCCGTTAACAAAGTCTTCACCCCACAACCGGTGGGAAGCAGTTAACCCCATCACCAGCAGAACAGGCGGTGCCGACAGGTCACCGGCCTGGGTATAAGCAATATCTACGCCGTTAACATTTATTTTTGACATGACCTGATCACGGCTGTATCCAGCGTGAGACACTGATGCCAGCAGCAGGCAGACAGCACCAACAAATGTTGTAAGTCTCTTCATCTTCAACTCTCTTTCTTAAACTTCATTTCAGGCGTACGGGCAAACTCTTGTATCGATGCCACAATGGCATTTTCTGCAAAACCAGGTCTTGCGCAGGCACAGCAAAGCTGATGTCCTGGGTTCGTTCAAGCAGAACTTGGAAGGCAAGTTTGGTTTCCATCCGCGCCAGGAACGCACCCAGACAGAAATGATTACCCTGGGAAAAGCTCAAATGTTTGTTATCACTGCGGCCAACATCAAACACATCCGGATCTGCAAACATCTCACTGTCGCGATTGGCGCAGGCCAGTAGCGGAATCACCGCCTCACCTTTTTTAATCGGATATCCGGCAATCTCCAGATCTTCCACCGCATAATTCATTTTGGTGCCGTGCACCGGCGGGCAGAAACGCAACATTTCTTCCACCGCGGAATCCATCAGCTCGGGTTGCGCCCGCAGGCGCGCCATTTGTTCAGGATGAGTCACCAGTGCGTGTACGCCATTGGTGATTAAATGGGCTGTGGTTTCGTACCCGGCAACAATCAACAGAAACACCAGGCTGACTAACTCATCTTCCGTGAGGGAATCTCCGGCCTCTTCCGCTGCGATCAGATCGCTCAGAATATCGTCACCTGGATTTACCCGCTTGAAGTTCACTAACTCACGGATATAGTCGGCAGTGCGACGCAAGTCCCACAGAATCGTGCGCAGAATGTTCCAGCCGCTCAGCCCATCACTCAAGACGCGCACGCTGGATTGCACCTTCGGCATCTGCGCCTGACTCACACCAACCATCTCACCTATGACAATGGTCGGAATCTGCAGCGCATAGTCCCGCTGCAGGTCCACTTCAGGTTTCGCCAGAGCGTCATCCAAAAGCTGATGCGCAACGGTCTCAACGCGGCCAACAAGCTTATCCAGTGATCTTGGCGCAAACGCTTTCTGCACCAGGTTCCGCAGACGGCGGTGCTGGGGATCATCTTCCACAATCATGCTCTGCGCCAGGAGCGCCAGGTGTTTTGGCAGCGGAAATGGCATGCGCCCGCCACCCGTTATGGTGCCGCGGTTACGCAGAAACTGTTTGCTCTTAGTGAGCGCTATTGCATCAGCATAGCGTGCCACAAGGTGCACATTCACCACGGCAATTCGCCCGCGAGAGACCGGGCGAGAGCGACGCAACTCAGCGTAATAGTCGTACTTGCGATCGGTAAAGTCGCGATCGGCGAGGTTGATCGTTTTTGGCAACTCAATCGGCTGCGCCATCATTGCTGGCCGGAAACGCCGGTATTGCGGTTTGCACCTTCGCGGGACTGTTCTATATTTTCCCGCGCTATCTGCTCCTCACGTGCCCATTGTTCGGGTTTCTTGCAGACCCGTTTGGCGATACGGGAGCCAGTTTCCTTGATACGACGGCATTCGCGATTGGCGCTGCCTTGTTTCTTTTTCTCTACCTGTTGTTGTTTCTCCGCTTGGGCATAAACAGAACTCACGGGAGACAGCGCAAGTGCGCCCAACAACAACGCCGTTAAACCAATAGCACCTGGCTGCATAACAATCTCGAGTAAAAAAACCTCACCTGAGTGTATCCGCTGCAGGTCACAAAAGAAATTGCAGGTGCTAAGCTCTGCCAAACACTTCAGGGGCGGGAAAAATGATTCGATTGGTATTTTGTTTACGTCGTCAGCAACACCTGTCGTTGCAGGCTTTTCAGGAATACTGGCTGGAGCAGCATGCACCCCTGGTAGCCAGCTTTGCCAGCGACCTCAATATTTTGCGTTACGTACAAACACACACCCTGGACGACCCAGGCAATGCAGCAGCGCAAAACGCCCGAGGCAGCATGGAGCCACACTATGACGGCGTAGCCGAGCTGTGGTGGTCCACCGAGGCAGATTTAGAAAGCGCAATGGCAAGTGAGGCAGGACAGGCTGCCGGCGCTGCCCTGCTGGCTGATGAACAGAAGTTTATTGATTTACCACAATCACCGCTGTGGCTCGCTTATGAATACCCCCAGGTGAACCCCAGCCCGGAAAACATTGCTGCCCGGGTAAAAAGCAACGTCGTACGCGTGTTTTTTCCCCTGCGTGAGCAGAGTCAGATCAGCGAAGCTGATGCGCGTCACTACTGGTTAACCCAACACGGCCCTATCGTTCGTGGCGGCGCCGAGGCAGCAGGTATTTTATGTTACCGACAAGTGCATCGTGCTAACTCACCGTTCGATGAAGCGATACAAAACGCCAGAGGCACACAGGTAGAATCCTATCTGGGTCACGCAGAAGCCTGGGTGGATCGCGCTGCTGCACCGGCGACTGAAGAGGCCCGAGTTGCAGGCGAAAGCTTTGTCACCGATGAACACAATTTCATTGATATGCAACGCTCAACCATCTTTTTTGGCAAAGAGCACACGATCATCGATAAGCGTTAGCCTTCAGCGTCGTCTGCTTGTAAACCTAACAGAAGTGCAAACGCCTCTTCTCGCACGGTTGTAGCGCGCTCGGTCATCTCGTTGACCTGCGCTTCGGTGAAGCCCAAAGCGGCCAGCACTTCCGTGTTCGCTTCTCCCAGTTCAGGTGGGTCACCCTTGACGGAACCAGGCGTTTCGCTGAGGCGCACCACATTGCCAACCGTCTTAGTTGTACCGAGACCCGGCACCTGTACGTCAGCCAGATAATTGTTTGCCAGATTCTGCTCGTCTACCAGCACTTCCTGCAGGCTACGCACCTTCTCCCAGATGATCTCAGGCTGAGTACCCAAAAATTCCGTCCACTGGTCTGTGGTTTTTCCTGCAAATGCTGCCTCCAGCGTCGCACGAATCTCCAAAGAATCAGCCTCAGTCATACCTTCACCAAGGCGCTGCCCGGCAGTCTGCAGGCGCGCATCAAAGGCAAGCTCCGGCACGTCGGCAAAAATACAGAAAGCATCCCAGGCTTCAGACACCATGGTCTGAGCAAGCATAATCGCCCCATCATCAGCAGTGCGATAAATGCCATAAGGCCCTTTCAGATTGGGATGATGGGAACCTGAACGGGCAATGGGCGCATCTGTCATCGCAACCTGAGTCAATTCCCATTGTTGTAACCACAGCTGAGTACCTAACGCACTGGTTTGCGCGCGTTGGCCGGCGCCGAAGCGCTCACGCGCCAGCAACGCGGTCATCGTCGCCAGCGCTAACTGCATGGCCCCCGCGGTATCCGCAATAATAGCGCCGGGTAATGAAGGGGGCCGATCAGCAGGTCCCGTCATACCCGCAAGTCCGCCACGGGCAACTGCCGCGCCATCCAACATGGCTTTGTCAGCATCCGGACCTTCAGGACCAAAGCCATTCACCGATGCATACACCAACTGCGGATATTGCGCATGCAGAGCCTCATACCCCAGCCCCATTTTCTGCAGTGCGGGCTCTCGGTAATTGGTCAGGAAAACATCAGCATCACCCAGCAGAACATGCAGCGCCTGCATACCAAGATCTGTAGTGAGGTCGATACAAACAGAGCGTTTACCTCGATTGGCGGCGACAAACTGTGCACCCATGGTACCGTCTGGTGTGTTGTTGAACCGCCCCCTGCCGTAACGGCTGCCATCACCCACCGGAGGCTCAATTTTGATGACCTGCGCACCCATATCGCGCAGATAAAGCGCTGCCGCCGGCCCCTGCACAGCAATGGTCATCTCTATAACCGTCATCCCCTCTAACGGTTCAGGCATGTTTGTCTCCCCTGACGTTAAGTGGCTTACGAAATACGCACGCTGACTTCAACTTTACCCACCTGCGCCGCCTGCATAGGCGCACCGGTCCAGTTACGGCACATGGAACAGTGACAGGCATGAATGTGGGTATCGACGTCTTCAGCGGTGAATTTAACTGCCCCACAGAGGCATTGACCTGTTGCACTCATCGCTCTTCCCTCAGTTAACCTGACTCTGATACTGACACTGGCCTATGCTGATGTCACTCATCAAAGGCGCGCCAATCAGGCACGTCCTAACTCTTTCAGGTTATCGACGTGTGTCTTGCGGTCAATACGATACAACGTGATGAAACCGATCATAATCATCCAGACGAAAAAGATTGTTGGTGCATAGTAAGCACCTAGCTTGAACAGCGACTCGGCACTGACTTCATCCGGCGTTGCACCCGGCTGAATCTCTGCCAGCGTCAGGATGAACGTGGCAACAACCACACCCACACCTTGCACCATTTTCCTGGTGAAACTGATTGCGGAAAAGAACACCCCTTCTGAGCGACGTTTGGTTTTCACTTCACTGGCCTCGACAAGATCGGCAATCATCGATGCCATCAATGTCTGGAAGGTAATAATCAGCCCCACATCAACAATCGTCACCACCAGAATCACGGGGAATAACAGGGCATCGCCATTGGCGGGCATCAGATCAAACAGGCGCAGCAGTACAGGCATGGGTGAAATACTGAATGCCAGAATACCTATAATGATGGTGCCGCGCTTCTTGCCCATGGTTCGAGACACATACGGTGCTACCAGAAATCCGATGACCGCGGACAACACTACGGAAATGGCAATAATGCCCTGTTGGGCACTGGTGAATTCCCAGAAAAACGTATTCAGGTAAAACGACAAACCCGCGGCCAGCCCGGTCGCGACGGCACCAAACAACGCGGCCAGAAACAGTGAGAGAAACGATCGATTAGCCAGTGTGGCCCACAAATCACTGTAAATACGCTTAATGGTCATCTTTTCTTTCGGCGGCGGTGCATTCAGGTGCGGAATAAATCGGTGCGTGCCTAACGCGGACACCATGATGGCAAAAAACATCACGCTCGCCGCCACCAGGCCCATCTGCCCATAACCTTCGACGTTGAACATGCCGTTGCTGGTCGCCGCGGTTGGCACAAGCAGGAACGTCAGTGCAAAAAAGCTCATCAGCGTGCCGCCAGACCAGCCAAAGAAGTATCTGTAGCTGAGCATGCTGGTACGCTCGTCATAGTCCGTGGTCATTTCCGCAACCAGTGCAGAACTCGGAATCTCGTAGAGTGTTATCAGGGTACGTATAAAAACAGCCATCACAACGATATAGGGAAACAGCTCATTGCCTGCCAGTTCAGCGGGCGGATTCCACAAAAAGTAGTAAGAAACAGCGACTGGTACGGCAGCGAAGTACATAAAGGGATGACGTCTGCCCCAGCGGGAATGGAAGTTGTCAGAGAAGTAGCCGATAAGCGGATCACTCAACGCATCAAACATCAGCGCCAGCAATAGCGCATTGCCCACCAGTTGCGCATCAACGCCCATGACCTGGCTGTAGAACAACAGAAAATAGTAGTCAAAACCGTTGTTCTTGACTCCGAAAGCAACCGACCCGAACCCGTATGCCAGTTTATTGAATACAGAAACTTTCGGTGTTGCCACTTGTGTCAATTGCTTCCCCTCGCTTGACGGATGTCGAATGAACTATCTTGACCATCGTTATAGTTAACTATCACAAAATATACAATGGTCGCCGTGTTGCAGGGGCAGTGAAAGAGTGGATACCCCAGAGGGGGTGCATTTAACTTCGGGAGATGTATCATTCGCGCCCGACAAAACTGTCGATGGTTGCCAGCGCTGAGTCACTACCTCACTGACAAAACAAAAAATCTATCCACCATTGCGAGAAGCGCAGGTGCATCTGGAATGAACATGAGCACGGAAAAAGACTACCCCTCCATAATCACTGAGAAACGGGGCAAGGCGGTAATTCATGACCCGCTACTGAATAAAGGTAGCGCGTTTACCAAAGAAGAAAGAGACACACTGGGGCTGCACGGCCTCATACCGCCACAGCAGAACACTCTGGCACAACAATCCCGTCGTGCCCACAACGCCCTGCTAAGGTTGTCTGAACCTTTGGATAAGTATGTTGGGTTTTCGGCCTTACAGGACCGTAACGAGCACCTTTTCTACCGCGTCCTTATGGATCACATGACCGAGTACATGCCCATCGTGTACACACCCACCGTGGGTCTTGCGACCCAGAATTTCAGCCAGGTCTTCCAGCGCGGTCGCGGCATTTGGATTGACCCAAGTATGCGCGGCAAAATAGCTGACGTACTACGCACGGCGATGGGCAACGCAGATATACGATTAATTGTCGCCACTGACAACGAATCTATTCTGGGCATTGGCGACCAGGGCGCCGGTGGTATGGCCATTTCGATCGGTAAACTGGCGCTGTACGTCGCCGGCGCGGGCATCAATCCGGCCCAGACTCTCCCCATCAGCCTCGACGTTGGCACCAACAACGAACTGCTGCTGGATGACGACCTCTATCTGGGCTGGCGCGAGAAGCGCTTAAGCGGTGAAGCCTACACCACGTTTATCGCAGAGTTTGTTGACGCTGTGCGCGCCGTCTTCCCCAACACTTTGCTGCAGTGGGAAGATTTCCGCAAAGACAATGCGCTGGCCATTCTGGAGCAGCATCGCGATAACATTCTGTCTTTTAACGACGATATTCAGGGCACCGGCGCGGTCGCGTTAGCTGGCTTATTCAGCGCATTGCGCATCAGCGGTGAAAAACTGGCAGAACAGAAAATTGTCATTCATGGCGCAGGCGCTGCCGGATTGGGCATTGCCCGCCAGATCAAAGCTGCATTAGCTGAGCGCGGCCTTTCCGCTGCTGAGATTCATAAATGTCTGGCTGTTCTCGACAGTCGCGGCTTGCTGGTTGACGATCAGCCTTTAAGTGATGCCTATAAGTCAGAACTGGCCTGGGAAGCGAGCCTTGCTGAGCAATATGGCTTGTCTGACCCCAGCAGACGACAGCTTGAAGATGTTGTCAGTCAGTACAAACCTACAGTTCTCATCGGCACCTCAGGACAGGCCGGCGCATTTACCGAACAGATGGCCATCACCATGATGGAAGTCACCGAGCGCCCGATCATCCTGCCTTTTTCCAATCCAACGCATCATGCCGAGGCCACACCGTCGGACCTGCTGCACTGGACTAACGGCAAAGCGCTGATCGCCACCGGCAGTCCGTTTGAACCGGTAGGCTATGCCGGCCAGATCTATAAGATTGGCCAGGGTAACAATGTCTTTATTTTCCCGGGCCTGGGTCTGGGCGCATTGCTGGCAAACAGTTCTGTTGTCACCGACGAAATGGTCAGTGCCGCCTCCAAAGCTGCTGCTGAATCGCTGACCGAGCAGGAACTTGCAGACGGTATGTTGTACCCGGAAATTTCACGCCTGCGTGAGGTCACCAAAAACGTTGCACGCGCAGTGGCGGGCAAAGCCATAGACGATGGCTACGCCAATTCAAGCAAAGAGCAGGTTGAACACCAGCTCGAAAACGAACTGTGGCAACCTGACTACCCCACTATTCTTTCTAGCTGAACAACTGGGAGCTTCCTATGTCCGCACCCGAATTGCGCCTCGCCAATAAAGTTGCCCTCATTACCGGTGGCACCAGTGGCATCGGCGCCGCCACCGCCGCGCTCTTTATTGCACAGGGCGCAAAAGTGGCCATTGCTGGACGCTCAAAAGATAAAGGCCAGAAACTGGCGGATGAACTTGGCGCAAACGCCATTTATGTGGCGGCCGACATCACCCAGGAAGAAGACATCGCTGCAGCCATTGACGCAACCGTTACACAATTCGGGCAACTGGATATTCTGTTTAACAACGCTGGCGGACCGGTAGGTGCGCCTATCGACCAACTCACCTCAGAGCACATCAACTATGGTGTCAGCCTGCTGCTGTCCAGTGTCATCCTGGGTACGCGTTATGCCATTGAACCCATGAAAGCAGCCGGTGGTGGCGTCATCATCAACAACTCAAGCGTGGCGGCGATCCGCTACCGGCAAGGTGATGTGTTGTATTCAGCGTTGAAAGCTGCCGTCACCCATTACACAAAAATGGCAGGCATAGAGCTGGCGCCTTTTGGCATTCGCGTCAACTCAATATCACCCGGTGCAATTGCTACACCCATTTTCTACGGCGGCTCAGGACGCGCAAACACGCTGAGTGATGAAGAAAACCAGCGCAAAATGGCGAAACTTGAAGCCAACCTGGCCAATGCTGTACCTCTGAAAAAAACCGGTGTCGCCAACGACATTGCAGAAGCCGCCCTGTATCTTGCCAGCGATGCCGGACGTTTTGTTAACTGTCACGATCTTGTCGTCGATGCAGGCAGAACATCCATGTTCTACGAGCCCAACGACTAGCACCAATCACCGCTGTGGTTGTTTGGGCTCGGAAAACCAGATCAAAACCAGCACCGCAGCGACACCCAGCAGCAAACCATTAAATACAAATGTGCCTGCCTGAGACACATTGTCATAAATGAAACCGCCGGCAAGCGGCCCTAATGCAGCGCCAAAGCCTGCCGCTGCCTCACGAGCACCCAGCACCGTACCGCGAAGGGATGACGGTGCAAGATCGGCCACCAGCGCATCTTCGGCAGGACCTGCCAGCGCCCATCCAGCGGCAAACAGAATGTAGGATACCGCCACCAGCAACAAGCCTGGCCAGAACGGCAAAGCAGCCGATACCAAGCCAGCACACACAACCCCCGTTGCGATCAGTCGCACCCGTCCCAGTTCATCCGCCCACCGTCCGGCGTAACGCGGCAGAATGGCATAGACCAGGCCTGCAGGCAGAAATGCGAGCGCCAGCAGGGCCACATGCAGATCAAATTTCTGTTTCAAAAACAGCAGATAAACAGGCTCAATAAGCGCGCTGGCAAAACCCGAAATAAAAACAATGATCAATATACGGCGCAAGGGCGGCGTCCATTGCAGCTTCTCGCGCACTGCTGCGGGTGAACTGGGTACTCTGGTTTCCTGCACCTGCGTCAATGCCCAGGCCCATCCCAATAGAGCAAGCACGGCATAGCCCGAGAAAGCCCAGACCCAGGCTTGCGCCATGGGCATCATGCCGAGCAGCGTGAAGCCATAAACCGCACCTAGCAAGCTCCCCCTGACAGAGATGGTGAGCAGTTGCCCCATACCTTCAGCGCGGCTGTCAGGGGCAAACACGTCGGCAACCATGGTTCGAGCAGACACCCACATCAGGGATGCGCCAATACCCTGCAGAAACCTGGCAATATAGAAGTCGGTCAGATCGGTACTGAACGCAAAAACAACCATCGCTGCGCTGTAAAACATGAAAGCAAACGCAAAAAACCAGCGGCGCCCGAACCGATCAAGACAGTAACCAACCAGCGGCCGAACCAGCAACATGGTGGCCGTGAAAACCGCATACATACCCCCAATCGCTGTTGCGCTGATGCCTAAATCGTCTGCCCGGACAGGCAATCCAAAATTGATGAAGACAAACGCGCCTGAACCGAGGAAGACAGCATTTAGATAGGGAGATTTTTGCACACGTTTCATAGATGCCTTATAACACTACCCAGTTCTATCATTCAGGCGATGCGACATGCAGGTAATGGGTCCGACAAAAGTGTTAATTGCCGGCGCATCCGGTTTAGTAGGCACGGCAGCTGCCAATGCATTTGCAGCTGCCGGCTGGCAGGTTGTCGCGTTATCCAGACGCGTTCCAGAACTGATCGAGCACTCCGCCGTTGAACATCTGGCTGTGGATCTGCAGGATCCACAAGCCTGCATCGAAGCCTGCAAAGCGCTGACTGACATCACTCATCTGGTATACACCGCAGTTTATGAACTACCTGGCCTCGTGCCGGGCTGGTCCGATGCAAAACAGATTGAAACCAACGGCGCCATGCTACGCAACCTGTTAGATCCGCTGCTTGAAAACGCCAGTCTTCAACACGTCAGTCTGCTGCAGGGTACCAAAGCATACGGTGCCGCCATTGGCCCCATTCGAGTGCCTGCGCGGGAGTCACAATCCCGTGTTGAACATCCGAATTTCTACTGGTTACAAGAGGACGACTTAAAAGAACGAGCCGCCAGGCATGATTTTGCTACCACCATATTCCGACCCCAGCTGATTGTCGGCCCCAACCACGGCGTGGTGATGAACCTGCCGCCGGTCGTAGGCGTTTATGCCGCCATGCGCAAGGCAGAAGGATTAAGACTGGCTTTTCCCGGCGGCGCAGACTGGATCTGGGAAGCTACCGATGCCCGTTTAACCGGTGACGCCTGCCTCTGGGCTGCACAAAACGCCCAGGCCGCGGGAGAAACGTTTAACCTGACAAACGGCGAGGTCTTCAGCTGGCGCGACATGTGGCCGGCCATCGCTGAGACGTTGAATATAGACGTAGGTGAAGATGAGCCTTTCAGTCTCGCCACGTATCTGGAAAGTCGACAGGAACTGTGGGACAACATCGTCCAACAGCATGGACTGCAGCCGCTGTCGCTACAGCAGGTACTGGGGGAATCCCATCACTATGCAGACCTGGCATTTGCGCATGGCTTAGAAGATCCGCCACCACCCACATTTGTCAGTACGGTGAAGATCAGACAAGCTGGCTTCAACGCGGTGTATAACTCTGAAGAGAGTTTCTGTCATTGGTTACGCGACTTACAACAACGCAGAATCATTCCGGGCTGACAGCCTACATAAAGTCGAAACCGCGATAATCGTCCGCGACCACGTCGTCGCAGACTTCCCGGTACGGACCTACCCCGGCGGCATAGGGCATGAATACCCTTGGCTTACCTTCTACATTGGCACCCATATACCAGGAGCCCGCTTGCGGAAACAGGGTTGCACTGGCCACTTCATTCACATGATTTACCCACTGATTTTCTGCTGACGGTTGCGCTTCGATGCGCTTGTATCCACTGTTCCGCATGTGTTGCATGCAGTCAACAATCCAATCGACGTGCTGTTCGATCGATACCATCATGTTACTGAGAACCGAGGGACTACCCGGACCTGTAACGGTGAAGAAATTCGGGAAACCGGCAATACTCAAACCCAGGTAGCTGCGTGGCCCTTCCGCCCATTTATCTTTAAGGCGCTGCCCGTCTTCGCCGCGAATATCCATGCGTCCAAGGGCGCCGGTCATCGCATCAAAACCCGTTGCCAGTACCAGCACATCAAACTCATAACTGTCCGTTCCGGTTCGTAACCCGGTTGCCGTAATCGCCTCGATGGGATCAGCTGCCACATCAACCAGCGTCACATTATCGCGGTTGTAGGTTTCGTAATAACCCGTATCCACACAAATGCGCTTGGTGCCAATTGGATGATTTGATGGGCACAGCCGTTCCGCAATGTCCGGATCTTGCACTGTCGCGCGAATTTTGTTGCGCACATATTCAGCCACCAGCGCATTAGTGGCAGGGTTCATCATTGTGTCGGCAAACGCTGACAGGAAAAACGCCCCGCCACGCTCCCAGTACGGATCCAGTAATTCAGCCACCTGCTCGGCACTCATGCCCTCAGCGGTTTCGGCGACCGGTGCGCGTTCTATCGGTTCTATATCGAGGTCACCAAAACCCGAACTCAGACCCAGCTTATGAAATCTGCGATGCTCCCGATAGTGGTGTTTAAACTGCTCAACCCAGTTCTGATCGAGCGGCTTGTTAACGGCAGGTACACTGAAATTAGGTGTGCGCTGAAACACGGTGAGGTGCGCAGCCTGTTCGGCAATTTTAGGGATAGCCTGTATACCCGAAGACCCGGTACCGATGATACCAACCCGCTGACCGGTGAAATCAACACCTTCCGGCGGCCATAAGCTGGCCTGGTACCTGGGTCCTTTAAAGTCAGCAATACCCGGAATATCCGGCAATTGTGGCACCGACAGGCAGCCGGTTGCCATTACACAGAATCGAGCGCGCACCTCTAAACCCTGCTCAGTGAGCACATGCCACTCGTTGTGTCCCTGGTCATATAAAGCTGACGTCACCTTCTGTTCAAAGGCGATGTCGCGGCGCAGGTCAAAATGGTCCGCAACGTGATCCGCATAGGCCAGAATTTCAGGCTGTGTGGCGTAACGTTCAGACCACTGCCACTGCTGCTCAAGCTCAGGGGAAAACGAAAATGAGTAGGCCAGGCTCTCGGCGTCACAGCGTGCGCCTGGATAACGGTTCCAATACCAGGTTCCGCCAACGCCATCACCCATTTCAAGCACCTGGGCGCTCATACCCAGCTGGCGCAGTCGGTAAAGCAGGTATAAGCCTGCAAAACCGGCGCCAACGATGACCACGTCGACTTGCGTATCTAGTGTTTTTTCCATGGTTCCCCCCTAATTCAACACTATCCAATCCGATGCCGCCCGCAATGCCCCACCAGTTGCTGTGGGTGCTACGCCATCGGACGCGAAACTAACTTAAACGACCACCAGTGTGCGGGCCTGGGACTACTCAAGTCCGCATCAAGCTTCTGCAGACGCGCGCGCCAGGCCTCATCCAATTCTTCACTGCCCACCAGACGTTTGAACGTTACAGGGTAGACCGTCTGGCGAATCCTGATATATCCCTCCGGGTTGTCCAACGCCGCGGCTGACCAACCTTTACCCTCACAGCGTGAGCAACTGATATACAACGCATTATCAACGGACATACAGTTCAAATTCACCGACCAGGGAATGCCACGATCAACTTCCACCTGGCACAGACCTGGCTCGTTAGCAAACGACCAGTTCTGGACCTGCATCGTACTGCGTTCACCCTGCAGGGGGCCGCCCGGCATTTGTTCACACGGACAGACAAACCAGAAAGTGCTCAGTGCCGCGACAACCAGGACTGCCAGAATGACTGCAATTGCTCTGACCATATCTGCTACCGATTAACTGACCCGGGCATCCGGCCACAGACGCAGAAAGTTCTCACTGTAAAAGGCCGCTTTAACCTGCTCATCAGCTTGTGGCAGCGTCTTTTCAAATCGAGCAATGGGATCACGTGTGCCTTCGATGTGCGGATAGTCACTGGAGAAGAGATACAGATCCGGGTTGGACTGCGCAATCATGTTACCGACGTCCTCATGGGGCATGGGCGTAAAGCCCATCTGCTGGGTGATCTGCTCGCTGGGTTTGCGGTCGAATCGAATCGACTCATCAACCCGACTGTAAACTTTGGCCACCGCATCCAGGCGTCGCAACATCTCCGGCACCCAACCGGCACCCAGCTCAACCGCCGCACCTTTCAGCGTCGGGTGTCTGTGCAGGACGCCATCAGCGACAAGCATGCTCAAGAACATCTCTGGCGCCTGATGCATAACGGTGGCGTCTTTTGTACGGACGTTCTCACCCCCACCCATCCAGTCGCGTGTGGCCGCGCGCCCGTTATTACTCCAGGAGCTGTTGATCTGCAACGGCGCTCCGCCAACGTGCAACAAGAACGGTACACCGGCCTCCGCCAGCATGGCCCAGAAGGGCTCAAGATCCACATGGCCCGGCGCATGACCGATCGGCGCACGATGTGGCACCCAGATCGCTTGCAGGCCATTATCAATGGCCCATTTTGCTTCTTCTATGGCGCGCGCAGGATCATCCAACGGCACCACTCCCACACCCATCAACCGATCATCATCAGCGCAGAAATCAACCATATGCCGGTTGTGCGCTCGGGTTGCCCCGTAACGTAAATGTGCAGGTTTTTTACTACTGGGGTGGAAAGGAAAGGCCACACTGTGGGTTGCAAAAACCAGCTGCTTTTTAAAACCCAGCAAGTCCATGGCAACCGAGCGGTCCTGGGCATTAAATGCCCCCAGGGCTTGAATTTCTTTTGAAGTTTCAATGAGTTGGTCGCCTAATGCAATTTGCTCGGCAACATGCTCAGGACTGTGTTTACCGCCTTGAGCAACTATCTGCGCAACTTCTTCGTCAGTCACAATTGAAGCGCTGTAACTCACTTCCGGTATCTCATCGCGAATATCCGGATCTGCGTAAGACTTCAGAAAATCGGGCAGTTCCATGATGTGACTATCCGCATCATAGAAGGGACGGTCAGCGGGTGCATAAGACATATTCTAACTCCTCGTAATGACGCAGAAGGTACCATAAATACATCCTGCGGTTTAATTCAGTCAGCTACAATGGCGCCGCCTGAAAATACAAGTTTGAAGAACCTCAGAGATGAATAACTGCATCGATATACTGTGGGATATCCACAACAACCCCTCTGCTGGATACGAAAATCTGCTGGCCCAGCCTGAACAGGTGCGCAATTTTCCTACCGATTTTGCGAGTGGCCAGCAAATGCAGCTGAAACTTCTGGCACGCTGGCTGGAAAGCGGCGAACGTCTTGGTGGCTGGAAAATCGGCATGACCTCAGGCGCCTCCCGTAACGCCATGGGGGAAGGTATAAGACCTTTTGGCTTCATTCTGGACAGCCGTATTAAGACCAGCGCAGACCAGTTATCTGTTCGTGACCTGCACCGCGGGCAGATTGAAAACGAGCTGTGTTTTCGAATCGGCAACACTCTTGGAGAGGGCGCAACGCCCGCTCGTGCCAGGGATTGTGTGGCCGAAATTCTGCCGGCTTTTGAAATCAATCAGAAACGTCTGGGGCCAGATGCTGCAGCTCCACTTAGAATCGCAGACAACCTGTCTAACTGGGGGATTGTTATCGGCGACCCGGCGTCGCCAACCACTGACATCAGCAACCTGACCGTGACGCTGACTGAAGACACTCGGGTCATTGAAACGGTTGTCAGCGACGGACACATAGACGATCACTACGTATCGCTTGCCATTCTTGCCAACCAGTTAGCCCTGCATGGCCATTCGCTCGAAGCAGGACAATATGTGATTACCGGCGCTTACGGCAAAACGCCGTTTGCGCCGGGCAGTTATCAGGGTCATTTTGATAGCGGCGTGGGGTCTGTCACCACACACCTTGTCTGAGCCAATATGACGCCACTGCAGCTGGCCCTGCAAAAGAATGTCGTGCGCCGAGCGACCTATATCGCCCTTGTAGTGGGCACCTTGTTAGCTGTGATCAATCACGGCGGCGCACTTATTGCCGGTATGTTTGGCCTGGAAAACGCCATTCAGGTTGCACTGACTTACCTGGTGCCTTATGGCGTTTCAACCTACTCGTCAGTCAGCGCACTTAGAGAGCACTCAGGAGAAACCAAGCGATAGCAGGTTGTCTACGGCTTTATAGGGTGCCTCCAGGTAAGCCACATCATCCTGCTCAAGCTGGATATCCGTGGCATCCACCAGTTCATCCAGTTGCTCAAGGCGCGAGACGCCCACGATAGGCGCGGTAATTTCCGGCTTGTTCAGCAACCAGGCCAGCGCAATCTGCGCCGGTTTTTTACCATATTTATCCGCTGTTTCAACCACGCGTTCCGCAACCTGGAAGACATGTTCACCGCGATACAGGCTTTCAGTCCTCGCCCGGTCCGCACCTTGCGAGCGAGACGTACTACCACCCGCAAATCCACCCTGATAGGTTCCGGTTAAAATGCCTCGCGCCAGCGGCGACCAGGGCATCAAGGCGACACCCTGCTGGGCGCAATACGGATTCATTTCTCGTTCTTCTTCGCGATAAACCAGATTGTAGTGATTCTGCATGGAAATGAATTTTGTCCAGCCGTTGCGTTCAGCGGTCATCTGTAATTGAGTGAACTGCCAGGCAAACATGGATGACGCACCGAGATACAGTACCTTACCGGCCTTGACCACATCGTGCAGCGCTTCCATAGATTCTTCAATGGGTGTCTGCACGTGGCCGGGCACACCGTGTGGATGACGATGGATCACCAGATGGTCGATATAATCCAGACCCAGCCTTTCCAGGCAGGCATCAACCCCTTCCATCACATGTTTACGAGACAGGCCTGCTTGATTCGCTCCCGCGCCCATGGGCATGGATATTTTAGTGGCAAGAACATATTGATCTCTTGGCGCCAGCTCTCGCAACAGGGCGCCAACCACCTCTTCAGAAGCACCCAGGCCATAAATATCTGCACAGTCAAAATAGAACAGGCCTTTTTCCAGCGCAGATTGAAAAATGGGACGGGCCTGATCAATGTCCAGCGTCCAGTCACCCTGATGACCACGACCCGGCACACCGAAGTTCATCGTACCCAGGCACAGCTGGGACGCCCGAAGACCACTTTTACCCAATTGGACTGCCTGCAACATGTGTATTCCTTAACCTGAATGAGTATTCTTACGCTACACACTGGAGGCGCCAAATGCCACGACAACAGGCTACGGGCCTGCTCAGCTTATTTATATTGCTAATGCTTGGATGCGCACCTGAGGTGCAAACCGCAGGGCCCGACACTGCGGGCACCCGAACCCTGCATTACCGGGCAGACTTTGATGCCACATTCACGGCAGCCAATGACCAGGTGACCGCCTCAATCTCAATCCGGCAGAAGAACGGCCAGCTCAAATCTCTAAACTTCAAAGCGCCGCAAGCCGCATACCAACTGGTCTCCGCGGATGGACAGGCGAAACGCGACAACGATCGCCTGATCTGGCAGGTACCGCGAGAGGGCGGAACCTTTCGGTACACCTACCGTATCGACAGTCCGCGAGGAGATAGCTTTGATGCCAAACATACGCCTACCTGGACCCTGCTGAGACTTGGCGACCTGTTTCCCCGCGCGAACGCGCGCTTACGCAAGGGCGCTGTGAGCAAATCCAGCGTCTTCATGCAGGGGCCCCAGGACTGGTCGTTTGAAAGCCGCTACGGATCTCTACATGCAGAACGAAAAATTCTCGACCATACCGATCGCGGATTCAACCGCCCTACCGGATGGCTGCTGGGTGGCAAATTAGGCACGCGCCGGGATGTCATCGCGGGCCACAACTTTGTTGTCAGCGCACCCATCGACGGCGGCATGCAGCGGATGGACGTGCTGGCCTTCCTGAACTGGACGGTGCCCACGCTTAACGACATTCTGCCCAAGCTCCCACCACATGTACTTATTGTTGGCGCACCTGAGGTCATGTGGCGGGGCGGCCTATCCGCGCCAAACTCAGTGTACCTGCATGTCGGCCGGCCACTGGTCAGTGAAAACGGCACATCAACCCTCCTGCATGAACTGGTGCATATGGCGGGCGTACATTCCGCTGTACCGGGTGCAGACTGGATTGTCGAAGGACTGGCTGAGTATTACGCCATTCTGGTAATGCAGCGCAGTGGCGGTTTGAGCCCTGCGCGATTTCAGGCAACTATCGACGACCTGCAGGATTGGGCAAATAAAGACCGAGGCCATCTGGCCGACCCGTCAAGCGGAGCAAATACAGCTGCTGCGGTTCTACTTCTGCATGACCTGGCCAATGAGCTGAGTGCGGCCGGCGCGCAGATGGATACGCTCTTACATGAACTGTTGGCGGCACCGGAAATCTCAACTGCATCCCTTAATAATATCGCTACCAGACTGCTAGGCAAACCCAGCCAGGTGCTCAGCGAGATCAATCAGGACAGTTAGTATGTATACCCTGTATATCGGCAACAAAAACTATTCTTCCTGGTCGCTGCGACCCTGGGCTCTGCTGACGGCATTGGAGATTCCCTTCGAGGAAATCCTCATACCCTTCGACGATGGCGGTAGCTGGCAGAAATTTCGCAGTTTCTCGCCAACCGGCTTAGTACCCTGTCTGCACGATGGCGATATCGTTGTCTGGGAGTCGCTCAGCATTGTCGAATATATTGCCGAAGCTCACCCACAGGCCTGGCCAACAGATCCTGTTGTGCGCGCGTGGGCGCGCAGTGCTACAGCAGAAATGCACGCTGGCTTTAACAACTTACGTAACGAATGCGCCATGACTGTAGGCCTGCGGATTCAACTGCACCAACAGTCGGAGGGTCTAGGCGCCGACCTCAAGCGACTTGCTGAGCTGTGGCAGCAGGGATTGCAGAATTTCGGCGGCCCTTATCTCGCCGGTGAAAACTTCACAGCAGTTGATGCATTTTATGCACCCGTGGTTTTTCGCATACAAACCTACGGCCTCAAACTACCGGCTGCTGCGCAAAACTATGTGCAGCACATGCTGGCGCAGCCCGTCATGCAGAAATGGACCAAAGATGCCTTGCAGGAGCCTTATCGGGAACCCAGCCACGAAGAAGAAATTGCCGCGTGCGGGCACTGGTTACAGGATCTGCGCGCACCATTAAAGGATGGGGCATGAACCGGCGCAAGTTTGTTGCTGCAGGTAGCACCCTGGCAGCGGGTGTTGCGTTGACGCCTGGTCTTTTCGCGCAAACCCGATACACCCAAACGGAACACGCGTGGTCTGAGGCCCGGTGGTCTGAGGCTGCCTCGTTACCCCTGCAAATTCAGGAGCTGTACCCCTGCGTTCATCAGGGCGAGCTGTATGTCGCCGGCGGCATCGCGGCACGCATGGGGGTACCTTATTTCACCAACCGCTGTTTTGCTTATAACCCACAAAGCAATAGCTGGAGAGAACTGCCTGAACTACCCGAAAATCTGCACCACGCAGCACTGGTCAGCAACGGCCGAGATCTGTTCTGCGTCGGTGGATTTGCAGGCAGCTATACCCGAGTTTGGGCAATGCAGGATGCAGTGTACAAACTCACCGCCGATGGTTGGCAGCTGATCAATCGCCTTCCTTCACCACAGGCGGAAGGTGTGATTGCCCATCACCCGGATGGCAACATTCATCTGGTGACCGGCCAGAACCCAAAAGGTGCGGATAATGCCCAGCGCAGTGATCACACCGAAACCCACAACCACTGGGTCTGGGACACGGTATCTGACCAGTGGCGTGACGCTGAACAGATCCCCACAGCTCGCAACAGCGCAACAGGCGGCTGGCTGGGCAATCAATTAGTGGTTACCGGCGGACGCACCGCCCAGGGTAACCTCAATGTGACGGAAATCTATGATCTACAAGGTGATCACTGGCACAGTGGTGCACCGCTACCCCTGCCCCAGGCAGGCACAGCCAGCGTAGTTGTTGATGAAGGTTTGCTGGTCTTTGGCGGTGAAATATTCACGCCCGAAGCCAAGGTGTTTGCCAACGTCTGGCTCTACAATCTGCACGAAGATCGTTGGCATCCAGTTGCTGATCTACCGACACCAAGACACGGCCTGGGTGCAGGCCTGATAGGACAGAAAATATACGTTATCGGCGGCGCGACTGCGCCCGGCGGCAGCGGTACCAGTGATCTGAACGAAGTCCTCACACTCCAGCACAAGTCGCTTTAAGCAGAGATCACAAATAGATTATTGGAAACCTGATAAGCTGGCTTACAAATGAGAAATATTCGATGCTGACCCTGTACTTTTTATATGGATGACAAACAAACACACACAGGGTGGGGCGCGGTGAGGTGTGAGATTGATTCACCTGCGAAAATCGAAATGGGCACGCTGGCTGTACATTTACTGAGATCGCCAACCGATGTGGCTACGCGTTTCGAATACCCACATGATGTCTTCTGGAAGAGCACCGACAAATGGCGCCAGGAGTGGCGAACGGCTCTTGGGGAATCTCAAATTGATTTCAACTGCGAACCGGTTGCGCCTGCACGCAATGTTGTTGCCCGACCTGTTCGCGACCTCTTCATTCCCTCGGGTCAATCTTTAACCGTTTATGTGGGTTATCCCGCCTGGTTGCGAATCATCGCGAGCAACAACGTGGTGCTTGCGGATCTTGCAACTGAGCTGATGTCTGAAACCTGGCTCGGCCCCAACACGTTACAGGGCGAAGTTGCGTTTGCAACACAGACACAGGCGAGGTTAAGCCGAGACAAGCTCCCAGAAACTTCACATACCATTCGCGCGCCGATCACGATCCAAAACGCCAGCCAGGAACAGCTCCATATTACCCGCTTGAGCATTCCTGCTCCGGAACTTCCAGTTTTCCGATGTGGCGGTCAACTGTGGTCCGCGCCCGTGTCTATCGAGTGTGAAGAAACCTTATCCGGAGCCCGCGTTGTCCTCGGTGACAGTGCGCCAGATTTTCTGGATTCAGCAGAGCGCATGAGTGATGCCCGAGTGACCGACAGCAGAAGCTCCGTGAGAAAAGCGATTGGCTTTCTCTTCGGCTGAGAACAGGTAAAAATATGAGCTGGACAGACATACCCTTTGACACCTTGTTTCGCGCGACGGTCATGCTCGTTTCAGGGTGGATATTTGCACGGCTAGCGCGCCGCACAACCCGCCTGATTCCTGCGGACGTGTTTTCGCCAAACTTATTGTTGCTGATACAACGTGGTTCCTTTTATTTAGTCTTCGGCATATTTGCCGTCATGGCGGTTCAACAGGCGGGTTTCGACCTCACGGTGTTGCTCGGGGCGGCAGGTATATTGTCTGTGGCAGTGGGTTTTGCATCACAAACGTCTGCATCAAATCTGATCAGCGGCCTTTTTCTCATCGCCGAACGAGCATTCGAAGTGGGCGACGCCATAAAAGTAGGCGACATCACAGGTGAAGTGCTTTCAATCGATTTATTGTCCGTCAAACTGCGAACCTACGACAATCTGTATGTTCGCATCCCCAATGAAAATCTGATGAAATCAACCGTAACCTCATTAACCCGCCACCCGATCCGTCGTTTCGACTTACAAGTGGGCATCGCATATAAAGAAGATATCGCGCGGGCCAGAGACGTATTGCTGAAGGTTGCCGCAGAATTCCATCTCTGCCTCGATGAACCCGCGCCGCTCATCATCATGCAGGGTTTTGGTGACTCATCCATCAACATTCAGTTTTCTGTCTGGGCCGCTCGTGAAAACTATCTGGCCCTGCGTAACGGCATTTATGAACGGGTGAAAACCGCCTTTGATCAGGAAGGCATCGAAATACCCTTTCCGCATCGAACGCTTTATGCCGGCAGTGACACGCTGGCGATGCCAGTGTCTATCCAGACCAACAATCAGGACACCACTGACCGAGACCCACAAAAACCCTGACACCACGTTGTCACTTAAATATCTCCGCGAGCAAAGCCGCCTGGTAGCCGATTAGAACCAATTTGACAGCCTCGACAAATGTCCCGCTGTTATTGGTAAACTCCCGCCCGTTAAAAATTGCTGAAGTACTTTCATGACCCAAAACATCGCTGTTGTCGGCGCTGGTATAGCCGGGATGTTCACGGCTCTGTCGTTGGCTAAGAACGATCACGCCATCACCCTTTTTGAGCGTGATATCCCACCACCGGAGGGTGACGCCGATCAGGCCTTTTTTGCCTGGCAGCGCCGTGGTGCAGCGCAGTTCCGTCACCCTCATGCCTTCCTTGGTCTTATGTGTTCGCTGCTTGAAGAGCATCACCCAAGCCTGCTGGAAGAATTTTTTGCAGCAGGGGCACGCCGGGTTAACTTTGAAGATATGGTGCCACCTCACCTGCTGCCGCACTACAAACCCGAACCGGGTGACGAGAAACTGTGGATCCTGATGTGCCGCCGCGCCACCATCGAAACCGTGCTGCGGCGATACGTCGAGCGCATGAACAATATTGTCATCCACAATAAAACCTACATCACTGGTGTGCGCACGGAACAGCAAGCCAATGGTCTGCATGTCACCGGTCTGGAACTCACGGATCGCTCTGACAACAACAGCAGGTCCATCTTTGAAGCCGACGTCTACGTGGACTCAACTGGACGCGCGTCCAAATTCCGCAAGTGGCTGATGGATGCAGGGGCTGCTATCGAAGAACAGCGCGATGATGCTGAAATTGTCTACTACACGCGTCACTACAAGCTCAATCCAGGCGTTAGTGAGCCTTCAAGACACGGCGAAGATCCCGCCGCTGGTGACCTGGGGTATATGAAATATGGCGTATTCCCAGGAGACAATGGTCACTTTGCCATCATCATCTGCATTCCCAACGGCGAATCTGAGCTGCGCGAAGCGGTCAAAGAAGGAGATCGTTTTGATGCCATCTGCCGGACTATCCCAGGCCTGGTGCCCTGGGTTGCACCCGACAAAGCCCAGGCGACCACCGAATCATTTGGCATCGGTGAAATCCACGCCGTGTGGCGCAACTTTGTGAAAGATGGCCATCCCGCTGCACACAACTTTTTTGCGGTCGGCGATTCCTGCGCGCGGACCAACCCTCTGTACGGGCGTGGCTGCAGCATAGGTATTCTGCACGCCCAGATTCTGGCTGATGTACTCGCCAGCGAAACTGACAGTACCGCACGAGCACTGGCTTTCCAGAAGCTCACGGAAGAACGCATAGGACCCATATTCAAAGCCAGTCTGCAGGAAGACAAAAATGGTATTAAACGCGCAGACGCTGTGATGTCAGGCCGCGACCTGGATAAGCCCGACTCCCTGAAAAAATGGTTTGGCATGGCTTTTGGTGATGCCCTGGCTGCGGCAGCCAAAGATGAGATTGAGGTTTTTCGCGGCATGATGCGCACAGTAAACCTGATCGAAAATCCGGGCGATTTTCTCAAAGAGAAAAAGGTCAAACGCACCATCTTCAAATACATGCTGCGCGGACGGAAGCGAAACGCCAAAGCAAGAATGAATCGGGGATTACCCAGAAATGAAATGCTGCAGTACATAAACACGCTACAGGCCTGAAACACATCAAATATTCACAACAAAAAGAGAGAGGGGCAGATTGAAAAATCTATTTTCCGTAGAGGGTAAAGTTGTCATCGTCACCGGTGGTTCACGCGGCATAGGCGAGATGATTGCCGCAGGATTTCTGGCCAATGGCGCCAAGGTTTATATCAGCTCACGCAAAGCTGAGGCTTGCGATGCAACCGCTGCACGTTTACAGAAAGAATTTGGTGGGCAGTGCATTTCAATTCCAGGCGACATGTCCACCCTCGACGGCATCAAAGCATTCTGCGAAGTATTCAAGAGCAAAGAAAACCACCTGGACGTCCTCATCAACAATGCGGGTGTTGCCTGGGGTGCACCGCTTGAAGAATTCCCCGAGATCGGTTGGGACAAGGTCATGAACACTAACGTCAAAGGTCCTTTTTTCCTGACTCAACAGCTGTTGCCGTTGCTGGAGAAAGCCACCAGCTTCGATGAGCCAGCAAGAATTATTAATGTCGGCTCCATCGACGGCATCAAGACACCGGTGTTTGATAATTTTTCCTATGGCCCATCAAAAGCCGCCATCCATCACTTAACCCGTGTGTTGGCTGCACATCTGATCAAACGCAATATTATCGTTAATGCCATTGCGCCCGGACCTTTTCCAACCTACATGCTGAGCACCGGCGTCGGTGGCGGCGGTGACACTGACACCACTGACTGGGATGCGGTTGGCAAAGGTAATCCGCGTGGACGTGTGGGCACACCTGAGGACATAGCGGGCCTGGCAATCTTTCTTGCTTCCCGCGCCAGCGGCTTCACTGTGGGAGAAGTCATCACCTGCGATGGCGGATCAGTGGTTTCGTAACCCTCGGCTGTACATGGCAATGAGGCTTTGATCACGCAGAAAGGTTTGATCTGAAGCCCATTGGCCATCCGCCAGTTGCTGCCGCAGATTCTGCACACTTTCGTCCACAGCTCTCACATCAACTGGCGCGTTTGAGCTGGCAAAACACTGCTCTAACTTGCGCAGAATCCCGGCAGCGGTCGTCTTTTCCAGCGATGCATCTGCAGTGCATCGCCACACCATCGCCAGAAAGGCGCCATAAATCATCAACGCTTCGTTGCGACCGAAGCCAGCAACACCCCCGGGATCTAAGCTACTTGCAGCGGGCAAAACCACCTCGTCCAGGAACGCCCTGCCCTGACTGAGATCAGGCAGACGTGATGGACTGGGATGAACGTCCAGATGCACCCGATCAAGCTTTGCCGGCACCAGGAAAAAACCTGACTGACCCGTTTGCTCACCGCGCGCTTTGACAACCAGCTGTTCAACTTGAGCAATTGCAGCAATCCAGGTCTTGTAACCGGTTAACAAAATGCCCTCTGCATGGGGGTGCCAGACAACTCCCGGCAAAGGGTTCGTGTCGCTGCGGTCTTCGGATACGGCAAAGGCTGCTATCCCAGACCACTCAACTTGCGGGAAAGTCTTGCGGATGGCCGCCTGGTAGCCGGCAATAAACACCTGCGACAGATTGTCTGCCAGCCACCCTCCCTGTACTGCCAGACTAAATTCAGATCGCGACCCCTGCGCCACCTGATCACACCAGACCTGGCAATACATCTGTTCATTGGCGCCGCGAGGTAAAGGCACAAACCCATCAAACCAAGCTGTTAAATCTGCGGTCATCTAGGCTGGCACCGGCCCTTGTACCTGACACCGATGAATCAGCCTGGGCTCGTCGGCATGATCGTGCACCGCATAATGCAGAAGCACACGGTTATCCCACATCACCAGGTCGCCTGGACGCCACTGGTGCCGAGCCTGGTACTCTGGACGCGCGCTGTGGTTAAACAGGTAATCCAGCAGGCTTTTACTTTCAGCCGCGGTCCAACCTTCGATGCGTGTGGTGAACGCTTTACACACATACAGGGCTTTTTCACCCGACTCATCATGTGTACGGACCACCGGATGTAACGCACGCGGCGCTGCCTGCACATCCTGCCCATACAAGGCCGCAAGACCTTCAGCCGAGTGCACCGCCTGCAGTTGATCAAGCACGCTACGAAATCCATCAGACAAATCTGCATACGCCAGGATCTGGTTCGAAAACGCAGTTTCACCCCCCAGCACAGGCGCTTCATGGGCATACAACATGGTCATCTTCGGGGGCTGCGTGTTGTAGGTCATATCCGAGTGCCAGTGTTGATTAACGTCTTTGCTTTTGCCGCGATTTTTCAATGCAATAATGTTGGGCTGATCCGGCAATCCACCATAGGGAAACGGGATGAGCTCTCCCCATCTTGAGGCAAACGCCACCTGATCTTCCGGGCTGAGCTGTTGCCCGGGGAACACCAGTACATGGTATTCACAGAACCAGGCGTTCAGTGTCTGCCACTGTTCAGCGGTCACCGCGCGGACATCAAGATTGCTGACAATACCACCCAGGGGGGCTGACATTCGTTGAATCTGCATAGGATCTGTCTGCTTAGATTGTGTCTGCATCAGTTCTGCACCCTTCTGTAAGCCTTATCTCCAACCGACTCAGACACGGCAAGGCCGATCTCGTCAGCCGCCAGAATTGCATCGTAAACCATATCTGCGGACACCTCGAAAGGCAGGTTGGTGATAAACATATAGTCAGCGGTCTCTGCTGAAACCTGTCGCAGATCATCTTCGTCGGCGCGCGTTAAACCAATCTGTCCTAACGTCACGGGTAACCCTACTGCAGCAAAGAATTCCGCAACCCGTCTCGCTTCAGCCTTGTCCTGCTGCAGCATCAACTGCATCAACACGCCAGCAGCCACCATTTCACCGTGTAGAAAATTTTTCTCCACAGCGCCGATACTGGTTAAAGCACCTGCCAGACCATGAGCAGCCGCCAGGCCACCGCTTTCGAAACCCACGCCACTGAGCAGTGTATTGGCTTCCACAACCTGCTCCAGCGCGTCGTCCACACGGCTTTCACAAACTGCTTTGCCGGCATCTATACCGTGGGTGAAAAGGGTTGTTGCGCAGGCTTCTCCCAGCGCCGCCGCCGCCACAGTGGGGCGCGCGCCAATCACATTACGAGCCTGAGGGTTGGCAAGACACACCTTGGCCTCATACCAGGTGGCCATTGCATCACCCATACCGGCTACGAGGTAACGCTCCGACGCCGCGGCCACAACTTCAGTATCAACAATCACAAAAGCCGGATTCTCAGGAAAAAATTCCGCAGCGCTGACAACACCGGCGGGGGTATATAAAACTGATACCGCCGAACACGGCGCATCATTCGAAGCCAATGTCGGGACCACAATGACCGGCACGCCAAGCCGGTAGGCAACACATTTGCCCGCATCCACACACTTACCGCCGCCCACGGCGATTAAACAATCCACCTGCTCAGCAGCCAACCCTTCAACCGCTTCATCTATGGCTTCCAGGCTGCATTCACCGGGAAAGAGGCAATCCAGTGCACTGATATGTGCCGCCTGCAGGCTCGACTTCAACACGGGCCCTTGTTCCGCCAACCCACGGTTTGAGGCATACACCACCGCACGCTTGACGTTGATGATAGACAGATACCGACCGACGCTCGCCAGAACACCGGGGCCCTGTATGTAGCGAGGCGGCGCAACCAACACGCGCGGCACCTGTCCACCCGTATCACCAGGGCTATAAATCGGCTGAGGAAAAAATTTGTTCGCTGGCAAAGCACTCTCCTGATCGATCAAGTCAGCTTGCCACCGTGCCATCAAATACCGCAAGTACAGATCCCTTTAAATTTGCGTCCCTGCCCCCATCAATTGTTCGAAGGCATAACTATTAGGTAGGGCTTTGTGATGGACATCGAACACAACGGTGAGGTTATCGGCGAGTCCGGCGACCCGAAAAAACAGATTATTCTGCCCAGCGAGGCAATGCCGGGTGTTATCCAGATTATTCCTCAGGAGCAGCGACCCTTTTTCCCGGGGCAAGCCATTCCTCTGACCCTCAGTGCTGAACGATGGCTGCCGACGCTGCAGACCGTGCGTAAACGCGGCCAGGATGTGATTGGCGTGATCGCCAGCAAACACAGCCTCGAAGACGGCATCAAGCCCAGTTTTTTATATGATGTCGGCTGCCTGTGCCGCATACATCGTGTGCACCGGGAAGGTGAACAATTGCAGGTTCTGCTGGAAGGCCTGCAACGATTTCAGGTGCGTAAATGGGTCTCCGAAGAAACACCCCTGACCGCCTCAGTCCGTTATTTTCCTGAACCGCAGAAAAGTCAGACCTCGGAGCAGACTGCTTACGCGGTCGCGATTATTAATACCATCAAAGAGCTGATCCCCCTAAACCCGCTGTATGGTGAAGAGCTGAAACTCTTCCTGGCCCGTTCCAGCACTAATGAACCCTCGCTCCTGGCAGATTTCGCCGCGAGTTTAACCACTGCCGGCAAAGAAGAGCTACAGGAAGTACTGGAGCGAATTGCCCTGCAACCGCGCATGGAACTGGTTGTAAAACTGTTGCGACGCGAGGTTGAAATTGCGGCCGCTCAGATGGAAATCCGCGAGCACGTCGAGAAAGAAATCCAAGGCCATCAGCGCGAAGTTGTGCTGCGTCAGCAGCTGAAATATATCCAGAAGGAACTGGGTATTTCCAAAGATGACAAGACCGCCGAAGCTGACGAGTTCCGCGAGCGTATCAGCCAGCTGACGTTACCGAAAAAAGCCGCCGATCGAATTGACGACGAACTCAACAAACTGCAGATGCTGGAAAGCGGCTCACCTGAATATGCCGTGACACGCAATTATCTCGACTGGCTGACCAGTCTCCCCTGGGGCGTTGTCAGCCACGACAATGATAACCTTGCAGCCGCGAAAAAAACGTTGGACAAGCACCATGAGGGTCTGGACGACATCAAAGAGCGGATTGTCGAGTTTCTGGCTCTGGGTATCATGAAAGGAGACGCTGCAGGTTCTATCATATGTTTTGTTGGCCCACCGGGGGTTGGTAAAACCTCTCTGGGTCGCAGCATTGCCGATGCGTTAGGTCGAAAATTTTTCCGCTTTTCAGTGGGCGGGATGCGCGACGAGGCTGAGATCAAAGGCCACCGACGCACCTATATCGGCGCTATGCCGGGCAAACTCCTGCAAGCGCTGAAAGACACTGAGGTAGCTAATCCGGTGATTATGCTGGACGAAATCGACAAAATTGGCGCGTCTTACCAGGGCGACCCGGCCAGCGCGCTGCTGGAAGTTCTGGATCCAGAACAGAATGGTAGTTTCCACGACCATTACCTCGATCTTGATTTCGACCTGTCTAAGGTTTTGTTTATCTGTACCGCTAATCAGCTGGACACCATTCCGGGCCCGTTGCTGGATCGGATGGAAGTGATTCACCTGGGAGGCTATCTCGACAACGAGAAGCTGGCTATTGCCCGACGCCATCTGTTACCACGGCAAATTCGCAGAGCTGGTTTAAACAACAAAGACGTCAAAGTGGACGCTGCGGCCCTACGTAAAGTTATCGAGGGCTACTCGCGCGAGGCAGGTGTTCGACGCCTCGACAAAGCGCTGGCCTCCCTGGTGCGCAAAGCCGTCGTTAAACTGTTAGGTGGCGCAGCAAAGCCGATAAAAATCGGCCAGGACGAGATCGAGGCTTACCTGGGCAAACCGCACTACGAAAAAGAGCAGCTGCAAAGCGGCGTTGGCGTGGTAACAGGCCTGGCGTGGACGGCAATGGGCGGCGCGACGCTGCCTATAGAAGCGACCGTTGTACATGACAATGCGCCAGGGCTGAAACTCACCGGGCAACTGGGCGAGGTGATGCAGGAATCAGCCAACATTGCCTACAGCTATTTGCGCGGCAACGCAGAAGACCTGAGTCTACCAACCGATTTTTTTGACAAATCGCACATTCATCTGCACGTTCCTGCAGGCGCGACGCCAAAAGACGGACCATCCGCAGGCATCACCATGGCCGTGGCAATCGCGTCTCTTGCGCGCAATAAGGCACCTAAAAAACAGTTTGCAATGACGGGTGAATTAACCCTGACGGGGCTCGTTTACCCTGTGGGAGGCATCCGTGAAAAACTGATTGCCGCTAAGCGTCAGAAACTGAAGCACATTATTCTACCCGCGGCAAATGTGCGTGACGTAGAAGAAGTACCAGAGCACATCACCCGCGGACTGACGATCCACTATGCTAAATCGTTAGCAGACGTTGTACGGCTAGTCTTCTAAAGGTGGCTCGCAGCGCTCCGATGCCACAGGTATCAGCACCTCGTTGCGGCGCAGGAACCCAGGCCAGAACGGCGGGTTATAGCGGGCCCACATTGCCGGACCACACACAACATAGCTGGAGATTTGCAGCTGTTCTAACAGCTGCTGCTCAAATTTCCGGTAACGGCTTTCCTGCCAGCCCCCGGAATAACGCAGCGCGGCGACCAGTTGCGCGGGCATTTGTTCAAGAGTCACTGTGTCACCACTGGGCTCCGGCAGGCCGCCGGTCACGGCATCCTTGGGCATAACAAAATTAACCACATGCCTGTCCTCGTCCGTGCGCTGCTGCACCGGCGCCGTCATACTGATTTTCACGCCGCCGCTGTTCTCACCCGAAAGATAGTCGAACAGCGGTTTGAAGGCCTTCCCACCCGCCTTGGAAAAGTCACCCGGAACTCGAGTTTGTGCTACCCAATAGCTGTCATATAAACGTATCTCGACCTTACCAAGCGCCTCCACCAGAGCATAATCAGGTTCTTCAATAGCCTGCACGGAGGCTGTGACACCGCATAGCAAGAGAGAACAGAGGACACACTTTAAGTTCATATAACCAGCTGTCACGTGAGTGTTATTATGGCGACCTCATTGTGCACAACGGGAAAGCACATGCCACTGAGTACAGAAATGGTAGGACAGCAGACCGCGCCACTGGAACACCAGGTTGATGCGCGCTGGCTGATGGCTTACGCCGCCGGATTAAACGATACACTCGACTGCTACATGGACACCACCGCCGGTCCTGTCCTGGCACATCCGGTGTTTCCTGTGTGTCCGGAATGGCCGGTGATATTGAACGTCCGGGCAATGGCTGGTGGGCAAACCCTGAGCCCGGCAGAAGCCGCCAGGGGTGTGCACGCCGCCCACGATCTGCACATTTTCAAACCCATAAAAGCCGGAGACCACATTACGACGACGGCGACGATGATCGGTATTAACCAGATCAAACCAGGCGCTGCTTACACCCTGCGCCTGGACACACATGACGCCAACAGCGGCGATCTGCTGGCGCAGACCTACCAACTGGGCATCTATCGGGGCGTGAACGTCGCCGGAGACAATAACAATCTTGAAGCCCCACCGGCGCTACCCCAACTCAGTGACCTGGCCAATGGGCAGGTTGAGAAGATCGATGTGAACGCGGGCACCGCCCACATCTATACAGAATGCGCGCGCATCTGGAACCCGATTCATACTGATCGGAAAGTTGCCATCGACGCAGGGCTACCGGATATCATCCTGCATGGCACCGCAACCCTGGCGCTGGCCGTCAGCAGTCTGGTGAAAAAATACGCAGGGGGCGACCCGACATCAGTGAAGCGCCTGGGCGGTCGTTTCGCCGCTATGGTATTACTACCTTCACAGATAGATATCGTTAGCGCCATCAGTGGCGACACCATTACTTTCCAAGTACACAATGCCCAGGGCGAGCTAGCCATAAGCAACGGTTTCATGGTGTTAGCCTAACAACTGTTATTATGGGCTGGTGAGTGCCGCCGTTGAATTCGCACCGACGGACTGTGGAAATTGCGCCTGCATGCGCTCTTCAGCCCATCTTCGGCAGGCCAGATAAACCTCAGCCGATCCCGCTACAATTCTTTCGCCATCATGGTGCCAGTAACACGCCATACTCAACTGCCTCACATTGTCCTGCTTGATCTGCGCCAGCGACGTGGCCGGACTCTGCCGGGCACAGCCCGAAGCCAATGCCAAGACACCCGCAAAACTGAAACACATTACTAATCGAGATCGCGACACAAATAGTCTCCTTCATTGTCATCGATCCCCCCGCTCCGTCTATTTACCCGTTATCCTGTTATGGTGTTGAGCAAGACTCGTGCCAGGTCAAAGAAACCGTTCAACTGGCCTGTAACGCAGTTTAAGCGACCAGAACCCTCCAGCACGCACCATCCTGGTGCGCTTAGCTGCACTAGAAACACACCCTTGTTGAGTTTAAGAATCGGGACGTTAAGATTTGACCAGCAACCAAATGAAGTACATGAAGCAAAAACAGAACACGCTGATCCTCGGACTCACCGCTTTGGTCCTGTTGGGTACTATGGTTGGCGTCTGGCTGCAACGACCCCTCCCCCTGCCTGAGTTTGAACACCCGATAGTCGAAGTGAAAAAGCAGGCGTTCTTCGATTACCTCAGCCCAGCCATTGAAGACATCAGTGATGAGATCAGCGCGGATCGACAGTGGGTACTCGCCTTACAGGCGAACCAGTCAATTGATGATCTTTCTCTATTGCAGCTGCAAAAACTGCACAACCTGGCCACCAGATACGAAATCAACCCAGCAGAAGCTGAGTCAAACACCGCGCTCATCGATCAACTGCTGCTGCGCATCGACGTTGTACCTAAGTCACTGGCACTGGTACAAGCAGCCAAAGAATCCGGGTGGGGAAGTTCCCGGTTTGCCCGTAATGGCTACAATTTGTTTGGACAGCAGTGTTTCGAAAGCGGGTGCGGCTTCACTCCCGCCGCACGAAAAGCCGGCAGATCCCACGAAGTGGCGGAATTTGACAGCGTTGAATCGGCGGTTCGCGCCTACATGCACAATCTGAACACACACTATCGATACCGGGATTTTCGTTTGCTGCGAGCGCAGCTACGACGTCAGAGGGAAAATCTTTCGGGCATACGGTTGGCCCAGGGGTTAGGCGCTTATTCCGAGCGAGGCATGGTTTACGTGCAGGAAATAATAGCGCTTATCCGACACAACGAGCTGGAATGAAGAAAATCATCAACATGCAGGCTCTAACACTTTTCTTGTGCGGGCTTGTCAGCACATCTGCCGAGGCAGAGGTTAGCGTTGCGAACAACGCCAGAACAGAGCAGGCAGATCACGCCGTTGTGCTGCTGTACCACCATGTTGCAGATCACACGCCACCCAGCACCAGCATCACTATTAAGGACTTTGTTGCTCAACTGGACCACTTCAAAAGCAACAAGGTCAAAATTCTGCCTTTAGAGCAAATCGTTGCCACTCTGAGAGAAAATGGCGCGGTGCCTGACAATGCCATTGCCATATCTTTCGACGATGCGTACGCCACGGTTTTCAACAATGCCTGGCCGGAGCTCAAACGCCGCAACCTGCCGTTCACCGTTTTCGTCAACACTGCGGCCATCAAGGCAGAGCCCACTACCTATATGTCATGGGCACAACTCAAAGAATTGAATGACGCCGGGGTTACCATTGGCAACCATAGTCACACCCACCAGCATCTGGTCAGTAAGTTGGGTCAGCCAGACTGGGCAGCCGCCGTAGAACAGGACATCACACAAGCGAGCACACTCCTGCGCAAACACCTGGGCACAACACCCCAACTGTTCGCCTATCCCTACGGCGAATTCAGTGCCGCATTGCAGGAACTGGTCGGCAGGTTGGGTTTGATTGGTTTCGGTCAACACTCAGGCGCCATCGACACAACATCCGACTACACAGCCTTGCCACGGTTTCCTATCGGTGGCAGCTACTCATCTCTCTCACGCATTGATACGGCGATAAAGTCACGACCCCTTGAGGTGAACGCTGACCCAGCCAACGGCGTCATCCTTTCTAACAATGCCACATCTTTCGATGTTGAAATCCACATTGCTGATGGCCCCGAGAATCTGTCTTTGCTCGCCTGTTACCCTGCAGGTGGTACGCGCCTGAACTTAACGCCCCAGGGCAATCGGCGCTTCCTGATTCAACTCACCAACCTGAATTCTCCAGGACGGCACAAGATCAACTGCACCTTGCCTGACAGTGATCATCGGGGGGCATTTTTCTGGTGGAGCTTTCTCATGATGAAACCCGAATCAAGCGGCGCCTGGTATCAACAGTAGTTAAATTCAACACTCTTCCGAAAGACCCTCAGTCATGGTTATACTGAACCTGCTTTAGGAGGGGGAGCACTATCATTCTTAACGAAATGTTACTCAATCTGGCCCGTTGGCTGGACGCACAAGCGTGGAGCATCGGCCTGCACGAGTCGTACTATATGTATGCCTGGGTGGAGACTACCCATGTCCTGACGCTGATGATCTTTCTCGGCATGCTGTTTGTCATCGATCTGCGCATGCTGGGCGTCGCCTTTCAGAACGTACCGGCTTCAACGGTAGCTGACCGTTTGGATAAGCCGATGATGATCGGCTTTACCATCATGGTGATTACCGGCCTGGTTCTTTACTACGCCATTCCCGTGCGCACCACTCAAAGCATCTGGTTCCGAATAAAGGTCGTCCTGCTGATTTGCGCCGGCATCAACGCTCTGCTGTTCCGCAACCGGATGAAAGCCGCGGACGGCAGTTGGGACAACGACGTTAAACCGCCAAAGCGCATGCGTATCGGGGCGGCTTTATCGCTCTCGTTCTGGGCAGGCGTTGTGGTTACAGGTCGCGCCATCGCCTACGACTGGTATGACTGCAACAAAGACATGTCCGTGTTCATGTACTGGGCGGCAGGTTGCGTTGACGAACTTGCGGCACTGGACTAGGGGACGCAGAGATGGATGTTTTATTTATTTTCGAATGGCTCGACGGTTCTTTTCTCGCCACTATCTCTAAAGCTTACGGCGGGATTTTTGCGGTTGTACAAATGTTTCATCTGCTCTCCATGGCACTGCTTGGTGGCATGGTTTTAGTCGGCGACCTGAGGCTGCTGAATATACTGATGACCAACGTTCCATCGGACACTGTGCTTGAAAATACCAACAAGTGGTTTACGGTGGGCCTGATAGGCCTTGTACTGAGCGGCATATTCATGAGCTCCGCAGTTGCCCTGAAACTGTATTACAACGAAATGTACTGGGCAAAAATGGCTTCGCTGGCTTTGGGCGTGCTGTTCGTCTACACCATACGCCGACCACTGTTGCGTTATGCACACGACACCCTTAATCCACGCGTGCTGAAAGTCACCGCTATGACTTCGTTGATCATCTGGTTCACGGTAGCGGCAACCGGTCGCTGGATCGGCTTTTCATAAGCCAGGAGCTCATTATGGATAAGAAAAAACTTCTCGAAACCGCTGTCATGGCTTTTGGCGTCAGCATTTTTATTGGCGCCATCTGGTTCTGGAGCCTGCAGGTCGGCGATGTCCTGGAGATTCTGGAAATGGCCTACGGTTAGACAAGGTTGATTGCGTCCCTACAAACGAGCGGCTAGTGTTGGCAGTCCCTACACGCCGAATAAAAACATGCCAGATAGCAAAAAACTTATAGACGCCTATACCACCATCATCTCCGAGATTGATGACATTTCCCGTCCAGGCGTTGTCGACACCCCGAAGCGTGCCGCCAAGGCCATAGAATTCCTCACCAGAGGTAACAACCAGACCCTCGAAGAAGTGGTCAACAACGCGCTCTTCCCAGCCGAGAATCGCGAAATGATTGTCGTGGAAGATATCGAACTGTATTCCATGTGCGAGCACCACCTGCTGCCTTTCATCGGCAAAGCCCACGTCGGCTACATACCCAATGGCAAAGTCCTCGGGCTGTCGAAAGTTGCGCGCATTGTCGATATGTTTGCCCGCCGGCTGCAGATTCAGGAAGAGCTCACCCACCAGATCGCAACCGCGATCCAGGACGTCACTGGCGCGCAGGATGTGGGTGTCGTCGTTGAAGCCAAGCATCTGTGCATGATGATGCGCGGTGTTGAGAAGCAGAATTCACGTATGAAAACCTCAGCCATGCTGGGGGCGTTTCGCACCGATCCGTCAACCCGCGCGGAGTTCCTGAACCTGCTGTGATTTGATCGACCCGTCGCTCACGCTGAAAATCCGATACAGCTGTGTACAATTCTCGCATTGAGGCAAATCGGCTTCTGTGCTCCAATGCGACGCGAATATGACACTCGATAACAACGATAAATAATTTATGCGTGACTATTTTATTCGCCGCACGCTGCTTGTCATTCCTACGCTTATCGGCATAACGATGCTGGTGTTTATGGTCACTCGGTTTGTCCCGGGGGGGCCGCTGGAACGTGCGCTGATGGAAGCCCAGCAAGCCAGCATCAGTGCCGGGAGCTCTCGCTCTGTGGGCCAGGGTATGGCTATTTCGGAAGATCAACTTAATCAGTTACGTGAATACTACGGTCTCGATAAACCCTGGTACGAAAGTTACGTGCTGTGGGTGGGCAAAGTTGCACAAGGCGACCTGGGCACCAGTTATCGCTATAACGAGCCGGTCTGGGATGTGATCAGCCAGCGCTTTCCGATATCAATCTTTTACGGCCTCGCCAGTTTAATCATCACGTATATCGTCTGTATTCCTCTGGGCATCGTCAAAGCCATCGGGCATCGAACGCCGATGGACAACATCACTTCGATTATCGTTTTTGCGGGCTACGCGGTGCCGGGCTATGTACTGGGCGCATTGCTGCTGCTGTTTTTCGCAGTAGAACAGGACTTTTTCCCGATGGGGGGGTTTACCAGTTTCAACTTCGATGAAATGAGTGGTGGCGAAAAGGTCATCGACATACTCCACCATGCGACGCTGCCGCTTATCTGTTACATGGTGGGCAGCTTTGCTGTCACCACCATGCTGATGAAAAACAATCTTATGGACAACCTCGCTGCCGACTACGTTCGCACGGCGGTTGCTAAAGGTGTGCCGTTCAAGAAAGCCGTCTCCGGTCACGCGCTGCGAAACTCGATTATTCCCATCGCAACAACCTTTGGTCAGAACATCACCCTGCTGGTCACGGGTTCATTCCTGATCGAAACAATTTTTGACATTGACGGTTTTGGACTGCTCGGCCTGACCAGTGTTTTTGATCGCGACTATCCGGTTGTTATGGGCATCATTTTCCTCACCAGTCTGCTGTTGCTGGTGGGCAACATCCTGTCTGATCTTCTTGTTGCAGCGGTAGATCCGCGAGTGCGATTCCAGTAGGCCAGATCGATGCAGTTGAACCCCCTCACTCTACGTAAACTCAAACGCTTCAAAGAGATCAAGCTCGGCTACTACTCAGCCATCACGCTTGTCGTGTTGGTCGTTTTTTCCCTTCTGGCGGAATTGGTGATCAACGACCGCGCGTTATTCATCAGCTATAACGGTGAGTGGCATTTTCCCACCTACAGCGATGTTGAACTGGGCGCGAACTACGGCTTGACCGGAACAGATGCCGTCATACCCGTTGACTACCGTAAACTGGCAACCCACTTCGAAGGCACTGAGCACACGGTCATCATGCCGCTGATACCCTGGGGACCTTATACCAATGACACCTCAGAAGGGGTTCTAAAGGCGCAGGGGCCAGACTTTGAGCGCAAACATTACCTCGGCACAGATACCACAGGACGAGATGTGCTCGCACGCCTGGTCTACGGATTTCGCACTGCGATATTTTTTGCCATTGCCTTCACCGTATTAACTTATCTCATCGGAGTGAGCATCGGCTGCGCTATGGGTTATTTTGGCGGCACATTTGACCTTTTGTTTCAGCGGGTGATTGAGATCTGGTCAAACATTCCGTTTCTGTACATGGTCATCATTGTCTTTTCCGTCATTCCCAGTACGTTCGCGATCAGTACCCGAATCACCATCCTGTTGCTGATCATGGTGTTGTTCGGCTGGACGGGTCTGACCTATTACATGCGCACCGAAACCTACAAAGAAAAAGCCCGGGATTACACCGCCGCGGCCTTGGTCCTGGGTGCCGGTACTGCACGTGTGCTATTCCGCCACATTCTGCCTAACACGATTTCCACCATGATCACCTTTGTTCCTTTCACCGTCGTCAGCGCAATTACCGCTATTACGGCGCTGGATTTCCTTGGCTGGGGCCTCCCACCACCCACACCCAGTATTGGCGAGCTTTTGAAACAGGGCACTGCCAATCTGACCACCGCGCCATGGATTGTGACCTCTGCCTTTGTGGCCCTGGTCTTTGTCCTGGCTGTTGTCACTTTCATTGGTGAAGCCGTGCGAGAAGCTTTTGATCCGCGCAAGTTCACCATCTATCGTTGAGGAGACCGATGTACCGTCTTTATTCTGAAATGTCATACGGCTGGCGCACTTTGCTGGTCGCTTCCACCTTGGTCCTGCTCAGCGCCTGCGGTGGTTCGGATGAGCCTACTGCGGAGCAGTCTGCAGCTGCGGATGCCGACTTCGCCAGCAAAAAGGCGGCGATGCTGGCCCATATGCAGAACCACTTCGACACCGAGTATTCGCTTCCACCTGCTGTGCAGGAAGCCGTGGAACGAGGTGAGATAAGTGCAGAAGAGATAGACAAACGTGCAGCTGCCGGAGAATTCGAAAAGTTCTTTCAATTCAAAACACCCGCGGATGTGCCTTCCGATCTGGTCTGGGAAAACGGCATGGATCTGCCTGATATCGGCAGCGATCAGGCCACCAAGGGCGGCACCCTGTACCTCAGCTTGAGTGATTTTCCACGCACGCTGCGCCTTCTCGGGCCGGACTCCAACGGCTCTTTCCGAACGTGGATTCTTGATGACACGCGCATGCGTTTTGCCCAGCGCCACCCCACCGATACCAGCATCGACAGCAACGGTAACTTTCGCTACTTCCCTGGAATCGCCGAATCATGGGCGATGTCCGAAGATCGCAAAACCGTATATGTACGTATCAACCCCGCGGCAAAATTCAGCGACGGTATGCCTATTACCAGTGATGACATGCTCTTCAGCTTCTACTTCTGGCAACAGTCGTTCATACAGGCGCCCTGGTACAACAACAACTTCCGGCGCAATTACACAGCCATAACAAAGTATGACACACATACATTCAGTCTCTCGCTGCCGGAAGCAAAGCCCAATGTGATTGGCCGAGCACTCGAGCTCGAACCAATGCCTTTGCACTTTTTCTACGAATTTGGTGAGGACTACGTTGAGCGTTACCAATGGGAATTTGTACCTACCAGCGGCCCCTATGTACTCACCCCGGACAATCTGAAAAAAGGCCGCTCTGTCACGCTCACACGCGACAAAGACTGGTGGGCCAAAGACCTGAAATTCTGGCGCTACCGCTACAACATGGATCGCGTCAGCCTGACCGTTATTCGAGATCAGGCCAAAACCTTTGAGGCGTTCAAGAAAGGCGAAATCAGTTTCGCCTCAATCTCTTTGCCTGAATATTTTTACGAAAAATTGCCCGCCACAGACGAACTGGTGACCAGTGGTCAGATACATCGAGCGGTTTTTTATAATGATGCCCCTCGACCCACTTACGGCTTATGGATCAATAGTGGTCGTCCGCTGTTGAACAACAACGATGTAAGAGTTGGCATCAACTACGCGACCAACTTCCAGAAAGTGATCGACGAATACTTCCGCGGCGACTACACGCGCATGCGCACCAGCGCAGACGGATATGGTGAGTTCACTCACCCAACCTTAAAAGCGCGGGAGTTTGACGTAGAAAAAGCGCTGGCAAGTTTTGCCAAAGCAGGTTTTGTCGAACGTGGTCCCGACGGCATTTTAGTCAACGCCAATGGCGAGCGTTTGAGCTTCACCCTTACAACTGGTTATGAAGCACTGAAAGACACCCTCACGATTCTCCGCGAAGAAGCGATGAATGCAGGTCTGGAACTACGCCTGGAAGTGCTCGACGGCACTGCATCATGGAAGAAGATTCAAGAAAAGCAGCATGACATTGCATTCTCCGCATTTAATGTCGGTCCTGAAATGTATCCGCGATATTGGGAGACCTACCATTCTGTCAACGCCTACGATGCGCCCTGGCTACCGGACGGCAGTGTGAACCCCGATAGAGAATTAAAGCCTCAAACCAACAACCTTCAGTCTATTGCCAACCGGGAACTGGATCAGCGCATTGAAGCCTACCGCGCCAGCAACAGCGTTGATGAAATGAAACGACTGGCATTCGAAATGGAAGAAATCCTTTACGAGGATGGTTCCTTCGTGCCTGGCTTTGTTATCCCATTTATACGCGTGGCCTACTGGCGCTGGTTTAACTGGCCTGAGGATTTCCAGGTCAAAATCGCCAATAGTGCAACCGATGGACATCTGTTCTGGATTGACCAGGACATGGAAAAAGAAACACGGGATGCGCGGCGCAGCGGCAGGACATTCGAAGTCGTTGACCGGGTTTACGACCGGTACAAAACGGACTAACGCATTGGCTGTTCAATCGGATAACACAGAGCCACTCCTTCGCGTAGACAACCTTGTCACTGCGTTCGATACAGAGAACGGCCAGATTAAAGCTGTCGACGGTGTCAGCTTCAGCCTTCAAGCGGGCCGCACGCTAGGTATTGTTGGCGAGTCTGGTTGTGGCAAAACGGTAACCGCATTAAGCATTATCAATCTGTTACCAAAACCAACAGCCGATATTCTCGAAGGTCAGATCTGGTTTGAAGGTGAAGACCTGGCAAGCGTACCGATAGAACGTCTGCACGATATACGCGGCGACCGTATCGGCATGATTTTTCAGGAACCGATGACCGCGCTGAATCCTGTGCATCGTGTCGGCCGCCAGATCATGGAAACACTGAAGCTGCATCGAGACATCAGTGATGAGGACGCGCTCAAAACCGCCATCAGCATGCTGGAAAAAGTAGGTATTCCCAGTCCGGAGGTACGTGTCAGCGAGTACCCTCATCAATTGTCCGGTGGCATGCGCCAGCGGGTGATGATTGCCATGGCTTTGATCTGCGATCCTTCATTGGTGATTGCAGATGAGCCCACCACAGCCCTGGATGTCACCATCCAGGCACAGATACTGGAACTGCTGCAGGAGATGCAGAACACTTTGAACACCAGCGTCATCATGATCACCCACGATCTCGGTGTCATCGCAGAGACCTGTGATGACGTTCTGGTGATGTACGCAGGCAGAGTAGCCGAACAGGGCAGCGTCGAAGAAGTATTTAACCACCCGCTGCATCCTTATACCCAGGGTCTGCTGAGCTCAATTCCAAGACTCAGCACGCCTCGCAAAACAAAGCTGCAGACCATCGAAGGCATGGTGCCCTCGCTGACAGATATGCCATTAGGATGCCGATTCAACAATCGCTGCCCTTATGCAGACGAGTTATGCGTCGCAAGCTACCCTGCGATGGATAACCAGGACACCTCTCACAAAGCGGCCTGTCATCACTGGCAGAAGATCGACGCCCAGCAGATCAGCAGAACCCAGACATGACCACACCGCTGCTAAAAGTAGAAAACCTTAAAGTCCATTTCCCCGTCAAAGGGGGCATCCTGCTGCGAGCTGCCGCATATAACAAAGCTGTAGACGGTATATCCATTGAGTTGGAACAGGGCGAAACGCTTGGGCTCGTGGGAGAATCAGGCTGCGGGAAATCTACCTTTGGCAAAGCCATTGTGCGCCTCCTGAAACCGACCGAAGGCAAAATCACTTTTCAGGGTACAGATGTCACCCACCTCTCCCGTAAAGCGATGAAACCCCTGCGCCGGGATGTGCAGATGATCTTTCAGGACCCGGGCGAAAGTCTGAATAGCCGCCTGACAGTTGGCAGCCTGATCAGCGAAGCATTTGATATCCATGGCATAGGTGAACCCCAGTGGCGCAGAACCCGCACCCTTGAGCTGTTAGAACAGGTGGGCTTACCCGCCGCTGCTGCAGATCGGTTCCCGTTCGAATTTTCCGGCGGTCAGCGCCAGCGTATCGGCATCGCTCGCGCAATTGCGCTGGAGCCTAAACTGATTGTCTGTGACGAACCGGTATCCGCTCTGGATGTTTCGATCCAAAGCCAGATTCTCAACCTTCTGTTAGATCTGCAGGCAGACATGCAGTTGTCTTACCTGTTTATTGCGCACGATCTCGCTGTGGTCAAACACATCAGTGATCGAATTGCGATCATGTATCTCGGTCAACTTATGGAAATTGGTCACGCCGATGAAATCTACACAAACCCGGGACACCCCTATACCCGAGCGCTGATTGCCGCGATTCCTGAACCGGACCCCGCGCGCCGCAATCGACCAAAAATGATTCTCCACGGAGATGTACCCAGCCCCATCAATCCACCCAGCGGCTGCGTCTTCCACACCCGCTGCCCCAATGTGCAGGATAAGTGTAAGACTGAAAAGCCGGTGCTGCGGGACATCATTGCTTCAGATGGCACACCACACCAGCTGGCCTGCCATTTCGATCTGTAATCGAGGCGTCAGTCAGACCCTGATCGACTGATGTCAAGGCTGTGCAGAGGCGACAAACCTTCGTCAACAATCTGCAGTAATTCCACTTTCAGCGCTGTCGGGCTGATGGACAAGAAACCGATGGTGCCATGCCGGGTTGACTGATTGTTTGGTAACGTAGGTGAACCGGGATTGATATACACACGCCCTTCCACATCATGAACTTCCGCAAGATGCGTATGACCATAAATCACCACATGCGGGTCAGTTTCGCCAAAAGCCTGCTGTCGCTTTTTATGCAGCTTTGCAGATTGAGCCCGACTGGGGGTGGGGAATTTGTGCACCAGACCAACGGTTAGTCCAGCAATCTGACCACACCAGACCTCCTGCAGCTTTGCATGCCGTACATCCAGATCGCCATTACCACAACAGACAAAGGTGGGTGCCAGCGTTTCCAGCTCATCAATGACGCTGGCAACATGCAGATCACCGGCGTGCAGAATCATGTCAGTATCGCGAAAGGCGTCGTATACCTGGGGCCACAATGTCGCAATGGTGCCTGGCATGTGGGTGTCCGCAATCAGTCCCACCCGCAGGCTACCAGCGTTGGCAAACTCGTTATGCAAATTAAGTCACCCGATAGAAACCTGTTTAGGCGGTGGAAAAAAGAGCGCTCTGGATATCTTTGAATGCCTTGAACTCAAGTGCATTACCGGAAGGGTCCTGAAAGAACATGGTTTTCTGCTCGCCCGGCAAACCTTCAAAGCGAGTGTACGGTTCAATGATGAATTCGTCGATGACACCGTCTATTTGCATTCTGAACTGATCCCACTGCGCCAGGGTCAGCACTACACCGAAATGTGGCACCGGCACGCCATGACCATCTACACCCTGTTTGATGTGTGCAACCTGTCCCTGCGAACCTAACGCCGGATCCAGATGAACAACCAGCTGGTGGCCAAACAGGTCAAAATCTACCCAGTGCACATCGCTGCGCCCTTCAGCAAAACCCAGCCTGGTGCCGTAAAAATTGCGCGCTTCAGCGATATCTCGCACCGGAATTGCAAGGTGAAAGGGTGTCAGGGTCATAAACTGGACAACAGCATTGAGAAACGTAAAAGATTAGCAGGCAAGTACCTGCTACCACCAGTGCAATGCAATCTCAGAAGCCCGTCCGCCTAATGTAACTGGTTGTCATCCGCGGTGAACGTTTGAGCAACCTGTTCCGCGTAGAGCAGCACATCATCGGTGAGCGCCCAGGAAACATCATCGAACATGAACCCCTGGAAGGCTGTGGTGGACAGTTCAATGAACAACTCAAGCAGCTGCTCTTCTTCTGTCAGCTGCACCAGCGACACCAGTATATTCGTGAAGAAGCTGGCGGCCATAACTTCATTGGTTTCGTTCAGATAGCCCACCAGCTTTTCCAGCTTCGGCCGCAGATCACTCTGCACAGATTCTATTGCATTCATGTTGAAAGACTAGGCAGGTGTTCGTGAACTAGGCGTGAACTGAGCGACAAAGGTGTTACCATCTCCGACTTAACTTCTGCTGCCGGGAGAGCACCTTGAGCGAATCCGAAACATCTGCAAACAGCGACAACCCGCTGCCACCAAAACCCAAACCCGGCATCATCAAACGCCTGCTACCCTGGCTGATTACCGTTGCGTGTTTTGCCTTCCTGTATAGCCGCATGGCGGGCCCTGCCGCAGCTCAGGGTTTAAGCGTGGTCGCCTACCTTGGCAATGTATTTGCCAGTGTTAACTGGTTCATGTGGCTGGGCTTGATGATTCCGTACTCGCTCTTCTTCTTTGCCATCGACTCCCTGATTGTCTGGCGTGTCATCAACTGGTTTGACGCCAAAGTCTCTTACAAGAATATTCTCCCGGTACGCGCAAGTACCTACATCCTGTCCATCCTCAATGAACAGTTAGGCAAGGGCGCCATGGCCCTCTATCTGAATCGCCGCGAAGGTGTTCCGGGTTGGAAACTGGGCTCGTCCATGTTGTTTATCATGGTGTGCGAACTGTTTTATCTGGCCACCTGGGCAAATATAGGTCTGGCCCTGCAATGGGACAACCTGCCGGAAGTATTCAGGGGCCTGCCCTGGGTCGGTATGATCATCGTCGCCTTGTTTGCGATGGCATTCCTTTACTTCAAAGGCAAAATCCTGCCGAATCTGAAATGGCGCGACAAACATATTCTGCACGCCTTTCGCGAAGCCAGGCTGAGCCAGTATCTGGTCATTATGATCCTGCGTTCACCGGCATTGCTTGCCGCGGTTGTGGTCTACTCTGAAGCGCTGAGTCTTTTTGGCGTTGAAATCTCCTACATGCAGATGCTGGGCATCTTACCGGTGATCTTTTTTGGCGCTTCAATTCCCGGTCCGTTTCGGGCTGTGGCCGTTTCTTTATGGGTTATTCTGTTTCCGGAATTTCCCGCAGAAATGTCAGCGTTCGGCCTGGTACAACACAACTTCTTCATTCTGTTCAACGCCGTCATCGGCCTGGTGTTCTTACGTCGTGCGCAGAAAGAGTTGTTCGAATAGCCTCTAGGAAAAAACGTCAGACAACGGTGCTGTTCAAGGCCCTTCTTGCTGCCATTGTGTTGTCCGCAGGACTAACAATCCATGCGCAAGCAGCACCCGAGCAGCTGCATCTTTTGATACCGGGTGGTGCTGGTGGCGGTTGGGACCGCACCGCCCGCGGAGTGGGCACAGTGCTCAGCAGAACAGGCCTGATCAAACAGATACGCTACGAGAACATGTCTGGTGGCGGTGGCGCCCGAGGCATTGCACATCTGCTGGAACGTCAATCACCCCATATGCTGATGGTGAATTCCAGCCCCATTGTCATCCGCTCCCTGCAGAAAGCCTTTCCACACTCTTTTCGCGACCTGACGCCAGTGGCCAGCGTCATTGGCGACTATTCTGTTATTGCGGTGCGTCGGCAGTCACCGATCCAGAGCATCAGCGCCCTGGCTGCTGCGCAAAAACAAAACCCCTCACGCATTGCAGTTGCCGGCGGTTCCATAGCCGGCAGTACAGACCACATCGTTGCCGCATTAGTATTTGCCGGCTTTGCAGCCGAGCCGAAGAGCGTGAAATACATTCCTTATGATGCGGGGGGCAAAGCCATGGCGGGCCTGTTATCCGGCGAGGTACAGGCGCTGTCTTCCGGACTGGGCGAAGTCATCGATATGGCACAACAGGGATGGGTGAACATATTGTGTGTCACATCTGCAGAACGTCTGAACCTGCTGCCGGATACACCCACTTGCCTGGAAAGTGGCGCCCGGGGCGCCGTGTTTGCCAACTGGCGTGGATTTTTTGCCAGTCCCGCCATGCCGGCGTCACAGGTACAGGCTTACGCGGAGGTCCTCGCACAAATGTACGCCACAAGTACCTGGCGAGAAATCGCGGACAATTATGGATGGGTAGACCTGTTTTACGCGCAGGCCGATTTTGCAGAAATGTTGCATCAGCAGGAAACCGACGTCAGAGCGCTCATGATTGAACTGGGCTTATTGTGACCTTCAATCACGACCGTACAGGCGGCTGTATTCTCCTGGCTTTCTGTTGTGCCTACGGCCTCCTTGCGCTGGATATACCCAGCACCACAACGCAGATGGGTTCTGCCTTCAGCGCCCGCACCATGCCTGCCGCGCTGGCCATTGTCGGCATCATCCTGTCGCTGGCGCTGATTTTGCTTCCCGGTAGAGCGCAAACCAGCAGCCAGGCGCCCATCTACTGGCGCAAGGGTGCCGCATTTATCGTCTTGATGAGCCTCTATGGCCTGGCCATCCGCCCAGGTGGATTCATTGTTGCCACCATTGCCTTTCTCGCCGCTGGTTTCTGGCTCCTGGGCGAGCGCAAAGTGATGACCCTGTTCATACTGCCAACTGCTGTCGCGGTATTCTTCTGGTTCTTACTCAGTGAACTCCTGGGTGTATACGTTGCGCCGGGGCCTGCTTTCTGGCGCACTGATGTCTGACAGGATCCCGCCATGTTAGACGGTATTTTACTGGGCTTAAGCACCGCCTTCTCCGCTCAGGCGATTTTGTTCCTGGTTGGTGGATGCCTGGCTGGCACTTTGATCGGCATGTTACCCGGCCTGGGACCGATGACGGCAATTGCGCTGATGATACCGATCGCTTCAACATTGGAGCCCACCACCGGCATCATCATGATGGCCGCTGTCTATTACGGTGCCATTTTTGGTGGCTCGACGTCTTCGATTCTGATCAACGCACCTGGCGTGGCATCCACCGTAGCATCCAGTTTTGATGGTTACCCCATGTCCCAGCAGGGACACGCCGGTAAAGCACTGGCCATTGCCGCTGGCGCTTCTTTCTGCGGCGGCATCATCGGCGCCGTATTACTGATGTTAGGCGCGCCGGTACTGGCAAAAGCCTCCCTGCTGTTTCAATCCAGCGATTATTTCGCGTTAATGGTTCTGGGGCTGGTCAGTGTCGCTGCGTTTGCGGGCAATGGCGGCCTGATCAAGGCCCTGCTGATGACTACTGTTGGTCTTATGTTATCAACGGTAGGCACCAGCCAGGCCCAGGGTATAGAGCGATTCACTCTGGGCAGCATTGACCTGATTGACGGCATCTCATTTTTACTGCTGGTGATGGCTACTTTTGCACTGGCAGAAGCTTTGCTTGCAGTGCTGCGCACGCCCGCTACACAGTTGCAGATTGTGGAAAAAAGCAAACGCAAAACGCTTGGCAGCATGCGTGTCAGCACAGACGAAATACGCGACATTTCACCCACGGTCGCTCGATCGTCTGTCCTGGGGTTTATCATCGGCCTGCTGCCGGGGGCTGGCGCAACCGTTGCCAGCTTCCTTGCCTATGCATCTGAACAGCGTATCGCCCCAGCCAATCAGTCACCCGCATTTGGTGCCGGTGCCCCCCGGGGGTTGGCCGCACCAGAAGCTGCCAACAATGCAGCAGCTACAGGTTCGTTTGTGCCTTTGTTAACCCTGGGTATACCCGGCTCAGGTACAACCGCTATTCTACTTGGCGCCCTCATCGCCTACGGCATACAACCAGGCCCGATGCTGTTTATCAACGAACCCGCCGTATTCTGGGCCGTCATCGTCTCCATGTGGCTGGGTAACGTTGTGCTGCTGGTATTGAACCTGCCGCTGATACCCTATATCGCCAGAATTCTGATGGTCCCCGGACGGCTACTGTTGCCACTGATTATGTTTTTTTCAATCATTGGCGTGTATCTGGTGAGTTTCAACACCTTCGATATCCAACTCATGGTGCTGTTTGCAGCGGCTGCCGTTGGCCTGCGATTGCTTAACTTCCCTATGGCCCCGATGATCCTCGGCTTCATCCTCGGCGGCTTGATGGAGGAAAACCTGGGACGCGCACTGCTGATCTACGACAACAACTGGTCATTCCTGTGGACCCGCCCGCTGACATTTGGCATCTTGCTGCTGGCCGCTTTGGCACTATCGGTGCCGCTGCTCCGCACATTCTTAAACCGCAAACAAGGACATGAAAATTGAGCTTGAAAATCGTATCGGATGTAATGAGTTTCGGCGGCCGCCAGATTCGATATACGCACAACTCGCCTCTGCTGCGCTGCGACATGCATTTCTCGGTTTATCTGCCACCCGAGGCGAACCACGGCCCGGTACCCATTCTGTACTGGCTGTCGGGGCTGACCTGTAACGACGAAAATTTTGTGCAGAAGGCTGGTGCTCAGCAATGGGCCGCCCAATACGGTATTGCCCTTATTGCACCTGATACCAGTCCGAGAGGAGATAGCGTACCCGACGACCCTGATGGTGCCTACGACTTTGGTCTGGGTGCCGGCTTCTACGTCGACGCCACCCAGGCGCCCTGGTCCGAACACTACCGCATGTACAGCTACATCACGGTTGAACTGCCGGCACTGCTGGCAACCATCGAACAACTGGACACCACCCGCCAGGGCATTTCCGGCCATTCCATGGGCGGCCACGGCGCATTGACCATAGGGCTACGCAATGCCGATAGATTTCGCAGCATTTCCGCGTTTGCACCGATCAGTAACCCCAGCAACTGCCCTTGGGGACGTAAAGCCCTGGCAGGCTATCTGGGCCCGGAACAAACTGCCTGGCGGCTCTACGATGCCTGCGCTCTGCTGGAAGACAAAGCGCCAACGATGCCTATCCGCATTGATCAGGGTGATGCAGATGCGTTTCTGGCCGAGCAGCTTGCGCCGGATCAATTTCTTCGCTTGTGTAAGATGCGCAATCTGCCACTCACCTATGAGTGGCAGGCGGGCTACGATCACAGCTACTTCTTTATCGCCACTTTCATGCGCGAACATATTCAGTTTCACGCCCAGTATTTAAAACGTTGAAATATCTGCCATCGAGCGACGGATAATCACTTCGAGAACGTATACTCCAGATGTATCGCTCACACGTTCATCACCGCAGTAGTCAATCAATCCCCAAATGATTTTTCGTACCTTTCTGATCATCAGCCTCTGCAGCACCCTGACCGCATGTCTCGCCCCACGCGATGGTGGTATGGCGGAGGTGGCAAACCTGCCGACGGCATGGCCCCTGGACGATCAGTCCACACAATCGCCTCCTGAAGCCTGGCTGGCAACCTTCGACGCACCCTACTTAAACGCCTTGGTCGAACAGGCGGTCAGCGATAATTACGACCTCAAACAACAGGCAATCGCGGTTGAGCGGGCACAAATTCAGGAAAGACTGGCGCGTGCAGACCGCCTGCCAAGCCTGAATCTCAGCCTCAGCGGACAGCGATTTCGCCCACTTGGCGAGCTCTCCGGTATTTCTGAACAGGTTGATATCGCCGCCACCGCAAGTTTCGAAATCGATTTGTGGGGCAAACTCAGCGATCGCCAACGCCAGGCACAACTCAACCGGGCGGCAGCAGAGATGCGCTACCTGACGGCACAACGCGCCCTGGCAGCCAATGTGGTGCGGGCGAGCTTCAATCTGATCTCAGCAGGACAATTACAGCAGGTGTTCAACCAGCGCCTGACTAATCTGCAACAGGGCCTGGACGTCATCGAAAAAGGCTATCGCAGCGGCCTGAACGAAGCCCTGGATGTGTACCTGGCTCTGAATACGGTAGAGCAGGAACGGGCAAATGTAGCCAATCAGCGCCAGGTCAGTTTTGAAGCGCGCACAAATCTCGAGCGGCTGCTGGCCGAATATCCCAGTGCACAAATAAGCGTAACTCAGGACCTACCTGCCCTGCCCGCGTTACCGGCAGCTGGATTACCCGCCGATCTGTTACAACGCAGACCTGATATTCAGGCAGCCTGGCTGGATCTACTGGCTGCAGATGCTGAACTTGCCGTTGCACACAAGAACCGCTTTCCCTCCCTGGACCTTACGGGCAGTGTGCGGGATGCGGACTCTGCAGTCAGCCGGCTGCTCAATGGTGGGCCTCTGGCCTTCACTGCAGCCGCCAGTCTTTTTCAACCGATATTCCAGGGTGGCAGATTAAAAGCGTTGGAAGAACAGGCGGCACTGATTGTAGAGCAGTTAGAGCAGCGTTATCTGGATGTTGTATTCAGCAGCATTGCGGAAGTAGCAAACGAACTGAACCGCTCTGTGACGCTAAACGATCGATATAACGCCATTGTGCAGGCGGAGGTGAATGCCAGTACCGCCCTGACCCTTGCTTTTGACCAGTATCAGAAAGGCCTGGTGACGTTTACGACAGTACTGGATGCCCAGCGCCGCGCCTTCGACGCTCAAACCGCTGTGGTACAGCTTCGCAATCAGCGCTTACAAACCCGGGTAGCTTTATTGCTGGCTTTAGGTGGACACTACCAGTCATGATTAAAAAAATTCTTGTCCCGCTGATTATACTGATTGTGCTTGTTGGGGCTGGTAGTCTGATTTTGAACAATCCACCCAGCGTGCAACGAGGCGGCCCACCTGCAGGGCCACAAACTGTGGTGGAAGTCATTCCCGTCACCAGCCGCGACTATCAGATCAACGTCAGCAGCTATGGGACCGTGCAACCCCGTACACGCTCTATCCTGGTTGCCCAAGTGAGAGGCCAGATTGTGAATATTGAGGCTGACTTTCGCGCGGGTGGTTTTTTTGACGCAGGTGACGCCCTGTTAACTATTGACCCACGCGATTATGAAGCCGACGTGCAAATTGCCCAGGCCACGCTGATGGATGCGCTGCAGGTACAGGCACAGGAAGAAGCGCGGGTGGAGCAGGCGCTACAGGACTGGCAACGTCTTGGCCAGCCTGGCGAAGAACCTTCTGAACTGGTCCTGCGTCAGCCCCAACTACAGGCTGCAAGGGCACGGGTAAGCTCCGCGCAGTCAGCGCTCACCAAAGCCGGACTTGATCTGGAACGCACCACCATCACCGCTCCGTTTTCAGGCAGGGTGCTCAGGCAGATGGTCGATTTAGGTCAGGTGGTCACCGTGGGTGCTCAGCTTGCCGAAGTATTTGCCACCGACTATGTTGAGATCAGGTTGCCGATCCGCAATGCAGACCTTGAATTTGTAGAATTGCCCGAGAACCAGAACACCGTCGCCCCGTATGTGGAAATTAAATCCAACCTGGGTGGCGAAACCACCTGGCACGGGGAAGTTATCCGCACTGAAGGGGCCATCGACGCCGTCGCCCGACAGTTACATGTTGTGGCGCAGATCAACGATCCTTTTGGCACTACCAATCCCGTTGCCAAGCCCCTCAAGATAGGCGAGTACGTGACCGCTGAGATCAGCGGCAAACAGCTGCAGGATGTTATTGTGATCCCAGGCAATACCATCTACCAGAACAGTTATGTTTATGTGGTTGAGAACGACCTGTTGCAGCGGCGCGATGTCGAGATCGCCTGGCAGAACGGGGTTGACGCCATTATTGCAAAAGGCCTGATGGCCGATGAATTACTGGTCACAACGCCGCTGGGGCAAATCACGTCGGGCACTGCAGTGCGCATAGCCGGTGAACAGGACGCAGCCCGCATTGCGCGTAACCGACCGGCGCAATCCACCGGAGCAGCAAATTGATCGCCTGGTTTGCGCGCAACGACGTTGCGGCGAACCTGTTGATGATCACCGTGCTGTTGCTCGGCGGCTATTCGCTGCTGTATGGCACCGCGGTTGAAATTTTTCCCAGCACTGAACCTGAAACGATCCGCATCCAGGTGCCCCTGCGCGGCGCCACACCGGAAGACGCCGAGCTGGGGCTTGCCGTACGTATCGAGGAAGCTATAGAAGGCCTTGATGGCGTAAAAAGACTTACCAGTGTGTCCGTTGAAGGCAGTTCAACTGTCTGGATAGAGGTGAACGAAGACGCTGATCCCCGCGTTGTGCTGGACGAAGTAAAAACCCGCGTGGATGCGATCAATACCTTTCCAGCAGAGGCTGAAAATCCTGTCATCAGCCTCGCCCAGCGCAGTTGGGGCGTTATAACCGTTGTTATTGCTGGCGACTTCAACGAGGCAGAAATCCGTACCTACGCAGAACGCGTGCGCGATGACCTGTTGCGCATCGAAGGCATCAGCCAGGTTTCTCTGGATGCGGTACGTCGCTACGAAATTGCTATAGAAGCCTCCCAGGACCGCCTGCGTGAGTACAATCTGACGCTGGCCCAACTTGCGGCAGCTATCCGTGCCAGCTCAATTGATCTGTCTGCAGGTAATGTCAGAACCCAGGGCGGAGACGTATTGATCCGCTCCAAAGGACAGGCTTATCGCCGTTCGGATTTTGAAAACATCGTGGTCAAAACCAACGAGGACGGCAGCATCATACGCATTGGTGACGTCGCTGTTGTCAAAGATGGGTTCCAGGAAGACGCTATCAAAACATTATTCGATGGCGAATATGCCGCCATGGTGAATGTCGAAAGAGTGGGCAACGAAAGTGCACTGCAGGTAGCAGACGCGGTAAAAGATTACATAGCTGCCAAGCAGGTTACCCTGCCTGTTGGTTTGTCATTACAGTACTGGGACGATGATGCCCAGCAGCTGCGAAATCGCCTGGGTGTGCTCGGCTCAAGCGCGCTGCAGGGTACTGTTCTCGTGATTGGCCTGCTTGCCCTGTTTCTGCGCCCAAAAATTGCGATCTGGGTATTTGTTGGCATCCCCATCGCGTTCATCGGTGCGTTCTCCCTGATGAACGTCTTTGGCATCACCCTCAATCTGATGAGTGCATTTGGATTCATTGTGGTTCTGGGCATTGTTGTCGACGACGCCATTGTCACCGGCGAGAGTGTTTATCGACGGTTGAAAATGGGCGAGTCTGGTCTGGAAGCTTCCGTAAACGGTACCAACGATGTGGCCATACCGGTCACCTTTGGCGTGTTTACGACCATGGTTGCCTTTCTGCCTCTGACCTTCATCGAAGGCCGCTTTGGCACCATTATGGGACCGGTGGCCGCGGTTGTTATCGCTGTGCTGGCTTTTTCTCTGATTGAATCCAAACTTGTGCTGCCTGCCCACCTTAAAAACATGGGCAAAGGTTTTGACAGCGAAAAACCCAACCGTTTTTCAAAGTGGCAACAGTCATTTGCTGACGGCTTCGAAGAAAAGATCCTGTTGTATTACCGCCCCGCGCTTGCCTTTCTGACACGACATCGATACGCAACCCTCGCCAGCTTTATTGGCGTTCTGTTTGTGGTGTTAACCCTCATATTCAGCGGCTGGACTCGCTTCACTTTCATGCCTTCTATCCAGGGCGAGACGGCCACCGCGCAGCTGACCATGCCAGTGGGCACACAATTTTCAGTGACTGACCGCTACGTCGACCGTATGTTTGTGGCCGCAAAAAAGCTGCAGGAACAGTATGTTGACCCGGATACGAATGAGAGTGTTGTTAAACACATCCTTTCCAGCACTGGCTCCCAGCGGGGCTCATCCGGCTCTCAATTTGGACGTGTTCAATTCGAGCTGATACCACCGGAAAAAAGAACAATCTCTGTCACCACAAACGAACTGATCGCGCAGTGGCGCAAACTCATCGGGCCAGTGCCTGGGGCCGAATCACTGACATTCCGAGCAAACTTCTTCCGCGTAGGTGACCCCATCGACATCCAGCTCAGCGGTAATGACCTTGAAACTCTGGCAGACGTCGCTGATCAGATAAAAACCCATCTGGACACCTACCCAACCGTCTACGAAATTGCTGACACGCTGTCTGACGGCAAAGAAGAACTCCGTATTGAAGTAAAACCCCAGGGTTTTGTCCTGGGTTTAACCCGCAACGAAATTGTTGGGCAGGTCAGCCAGGCATTCCGGGGTTTCGAAGCGCAACGCATCCAGCGAGGCCGTGACGATATCCGTGTACTGGTGCGCCTGCCTGCTGAGGAGCGCGCAGATTTCGCCACGCTGGATGAAATGCTGATACGAGCACCTACAGGTCAGGAAGTGCCCCTGTCACATGTGGCAACCCTGGAACCGGGCAAAGGTCCGCAGCAGATCAAACGTATCGATCGCTATCGTACGGTGAACATCACCGCAGAGGTTGAAAAGGAAAATACCAACATGACGGTGCTGCAAAGTGAGGTGGCTGGGTTTGTAGACCAGTTGTTGCTGCAGTATCCAGGCATCAGTTACCAGATGGAGGGGGAAGCCAGAGAACAGCGGGAATCTTTTGGCAGTCTGCAGAGCGCGATCTTTATCGTCCTGTTTGCGATTTACTGCATGCTGGCACTGCCATTGAAATCTTATACCCAGCCGCTGGTGGTCATGTCAGTGATTCCTTTTGGTCTCATCGGTTCCGTGGCAGGCCACTGGTTCATGGGTTACACCCTGTCCATGCTGAGCGTTATGGGCATTCTTGCATTAAGTGGCGTTGTGGTTAACGACTCCCTGGTGCTGGTGGATGCAGTGAACAAACAGCGTAAAAGAGGCGTTCAACTGAGCGAAGCTGTTCTGAACGCAGGCGTGATTCGATTCCGCCCTATTATTCTGACGTCTCTCACCACCTTCTTTGGTCTGATGCCGCTGCTCCTGGAGAAATCAACAACCGCTCAGTTCCTCATTCCGATGGGTATCTCGCTAGGCTTTGGTATTCTGTTTGCCACTGCGATCACTCTGATCCTGGTACCGGTCAACGTCCTTATTGGCGATGACATACGCCGGTTTTTCTCCAGCAAGCCCGCTGAAACCGCCGTGCCGAAGCCAATCGCGAACTGACCAGCTACAGTGCGGTGTGATGCACCTGCCGCCAGGACCGGTCACACCACAAACAAGCGGCTGCAGCCACTGAAACCACCAGCACAAACCACCCCCAGAATGCTGACGTTAGCCCACCAACCAGCCCGATGGGTGAAAACAGAAGGTAAGACAGAACAATGGCGGCAAACAGGATAATCGCCGTGGGTTTGGCAAAACGCCAGGGCGTCATGTCAACAACACTACGGTCAGGATAGTGCCACGCCTGGGCCGGGTAGCGCGAACCCAGTAACAACATGATCGACACTTCGATGACAAACAGAATCGCGTAGATATGAATAAAACTGATATTCAGATCAAACACAAACTGCAACAACCCATAGGCCACTACGTGGAACACAACAACCACCTTAGCGGCCACTGCGGGCACCCGCTTCGTAAACAATCCAACTAACACTAAAGTGATGATGGGAATATTATAGAAACCTGTGAACACACGGATAACCTGCCACAGCCCTTCCGGCGCATATTGCAGCAGTGGCGCGGCGGCAAATGAGAACAAAGCAATAACCACGCTGACCACCTTTGCAATACGAATCAGCTGCGCATCGCTGTAGTGTTTCTTTCTCAGCGGTTGATAGATGTCCAGGCAAAACAGGGTTGCTGCACTGTTTAATAACGAGTTGAACGAACTGAATACCGCACCCAGCAGCACAGCCAGAAAGAACCCCCCCAGATACACGGGTAACACGTCCGCCACCAGCGCGGGATAGGCCAGATCAATTGTATTCAGCTCACCCGCATAGATATGGTAGGCAATGATTCCGGGCAGCATCATGAAGTAAGGCACTAATAATTTAAAAAAGCCTGAGAACAGCACACCCTTCTGCCCCTGGGCCAGGCTTTGCGCCCCCAGGGTGCGCTGAATAACGTACTGATTGGTGCCCCAGTAGAAAAGGTTCGCCAGAATCATGCCGGTAAACAAGGTGCCAAACGGTACGGGATCATCGCTGCTACCAATGGCATTGAGTTTATGCGTATCCACCGTCAGCACTGTTTCCAGCCCCGCCATAGCGCTGCCATCACCCAGCGCAATCAGACCAAAAACCGGCACAAGGGTGCCAACGATGAGCAAACCAATACCGTTTATGGTGTCCGAGACAGCGACTGCACGTAATCCGCCAAACACAGCGTAACAGGCGCCCACAACGCCAATGACGCCGATGGTTAATAACAGTGCCGTCTCGAAACCCACGTTTAGCAGCGTCGGCACATCAAACAGACGCAGAACTGCCAGAGAACCTGAATATAGAATCGACGGGATTGTGATCAGGCCATAACCCAGCAGGAACAACAAAGCCGAAAGTCTTCTGACCCCCGGATCAAATCGATCTTCAAGGAATTGAGGCAGGGTTGTGAACGCACCACTGAGATACCTCGGCAGAAACACCAGGGCCATGACAATAATCGCAACACCAGCAGTGACCTCCCAGGCCATTGCTGTCATGTTGAACCCATACGCAGACCCATTTAAACCAATCAGTTGCTCAGCGGACAGATTGGTCAGCAGCAGCGAGCCGGCAATGAAAGTGCCGGTTAAACCACGCCCGGCAAGAAAATAACCGTCCCGGGTGGAAACTTCACCACGGGTTTTCAGATATGAGATCCACGCAACCAGCCCCATAAAAAGCAGACACGTAGACAAAGTAAACAGGACACCTTGCATCAGGTTTTGATCCAACAACTAAAGGATATGATAAATCAGCCCCATTTTGCTTCCAGCGCAGTCGCCAGCGCTTCGCGATCAGTCTCCCGCAGGCGGACCAGGTATTCAGGCAACTTGCCCCGCACATGGTATGGGCCGCCCTCTGCCATGACGTTATCGTGGGGATCACCACCGCGAGCCGCATCCACCAGGTTAAGGGTCAACCAGTCTGCAAGTATCTGCTGTCCCCGGGCGAGTATCGGCGCATCTTCGCCTGCTAGATTGCGCAGCTGATGCGGATCGCTGACAACGTTAAACAGCTGGTGTTCAGGATAGAGGTGGTACGCATCATGTCGGGTATGCAGGTACAGCCAGTCATCAAAGCGCACACCGCGCTGACAGGCCCAGGCCGCCTGCGAAACCACCAGTGCATCACGGCCGACGTCATCACCGTTGCCAAGCGTGTCGGCAAAGCTCTGCCCATCCCAGGTAGCAGGGACTTGCTGGCCCAGCAGCTCCAACAAAGTCGCCGACACATCTATCTGATAGTGTTTGGCGTGGTAGTCCCCTGCCGGCACCTTACCCGGCCAGTGCAGGATCAGAGGTACCCGGGTGGTTATCTGATCAGCCGTTTGATGGTCTCCATAGACATTCATCTCTCCCAGGGTTTCACCATGATCCGAACTGATCATGACAACCGTATCTTCATCAATGTCCAGATCCGCGAGCAGATTCAGGAGCCGTCCAACGTAGTCATCTGCCATCAGCACACCGGTGTCGTAGCCATCAAACATCTGCCGAACCGCCTTTGTGTCAGGTATATCCTGGGGTTGGCGCGGAAATATTTTGCGCAACCTGTCTTTAGGCGCATACCCATTACTTTCCTGGGCGCTATGCGGGCCACAGCCAGCCCAATGATCGGCGCGCACGGCCTCTGAAAGCCAAGCTGGAACGGGGTCATCTGCAAACGGATCGCCATAATCAGCGGGTGCACGATAAGGTGTGTGCGGATCCCACATATGCACATGCAGGTACCAGTTATCACCTCGCCCATTGCGCTGCAGCCATTCGCTGGCGATCGCATAAACTTCGTCCGCTGTCTCCAGCCCGTATTTACCGACGTTAAAGGCCTCATCAAGACCGGCATACCAGTGGAAGGCCGAGTGGCGTTGGGCAAACGAACTGACGCTGACCGTTCGTAAACCGGCTCGTTTCAACTGGCTGGGAAAACTGTTGATCTGCAGGCTGGACCAGAATTCGCGTCCAGCACCTTCCAAAACCGGGTCGGCATCAGTGCCGCCATGATTCACAACACCATTGTGGATACCAAATCGTCCCGTTAGCAGCGCGGTGCGACTGGGCAAACAGGGCACGTCAGAAGCGTGTACGTTATGCATTAACGCACTGTCCCGGGCCAGCTTATCGATATTCGGGCTGGTATTTCTATGGTAGCCGTAACAACCCAGATGATCTGGTCTTAACGTATCAATATCGATATACAAAATGCGCATGGCCCAGCCTTCTCCCCGCTACCTTTTTCTTTTCCCCAGAGGCATTCTACTATCGCTTTTGCCATACTGCGCGCCTGGTGTTTCAGGAAACAGAACATGGCGTCAGCTACAGCAGGCATCAAGAGCAAACATAATCAGGCGCGTGCGTTGATTGCGCAAATGACCCTGCAGGAAAAAGCGAGCTTGTGCTCGGGGAAAAACTTCTGGTATCTGGAAGGTGTGGAGAGGCTGAACCTGCCTTCTGTCATGGTCACCGATGGGCCACATGGTTTGCGCAAGCAGAATCGTCAGGCAGACCATGTAGGTCTTAACAAAAGTGTCCCCGCAACCTGTTTTCCAACCGCCTCCGCACTGGCATCTTCCTGGGATGTTGATCTCTTGGAGCGCGTCGGTGTCGCCCTGGGAGAACAGTGTGTCGCTGAAGATGTGACCGTGCTGCTGGGGCCTGGGCTGAACATCAAACGCCATCCTTTATGCGGGCGGAATTTCGAATATTTTTCGGAAGATCCACTGCTCAGCGGCAAGTTTGCCGCTGCCCTGGTTAACGGCGTGCAGTCCCAGGGGGTCGGCACCAGCATCAAACACTTCGCTGTTAACAATCAGGAACACGCGCGCATGTTTATCGACGCTATTGTTGATGAACGTACGTTAAGAGAGATCTATCTGCGCGGTTTCGAGATTGCGGTGCGTGAGTCTCAGCCCTGGACCGTGATGTGTGCTTACAACCGGGTGAACGGCGAATACTGCAGCGAACACAACTGGCTGTTGAACAAAGTGTTACGCGATGAGTGGGGATTCGAAGGCCTGGTTGTCACTGACTGGGGGGCAACCAACGACCGCGTTAAAGGCGTGGGCTCGGGTCTGGATCTTGAGATGCCAGGCAGCGGCGGTATCAACGACACGCTGGTGCTCGAAGCGATAAACAACGGCTACTTAACCGAAGCGGCACTTGATCGCGCAGTTGAAAGAAACGTTGCGCTGTCACTGCTGGGTCAGGATATGCACGAGAACAAGTTAACCGTTGACCATCCCACCCACCACCAGCTTGCCCGGCAGGCGGCGGAACAGAGCGCGGTGTTACTGAAGAATGACAATAACCTCCTGCCGTTAAACACATCTGCAAACGTTGCCATTATTGGCGCATTTGCCAAACGGCCACGCTATCAGGGCACTGGCAGTTCTCAGGTAAACCCAACTCAACTGGACAACGCCTGGGACGCCATCAGCGCTATTATACCCTCGGAACAACTTCACTATGCGCCAGGATACGACCCGAAAACGAGCGTCGACGATTACCGCTTGATCGACGAAGCGGTGGCCTGCGCGCGCGAAGCCGATACCGTTGTTCTGTTTGCCGGCTTGCCGACCATATTCGAATCTGAAGGTTTTGACCGATCACATATGGACTTGCCTGGGCAGCACAACAGACTGATTTCGGCTGTGTGCTCCGCAAACCCCAATACGGTGGTTGTGCTGTCAAACGGCTCGCCCGTCAGAATGCCCTGGATAAGAGAGCCTAAAGCCATTCTGGAAGCCTACCTGACGGGTCAGGCGGGCGGCGGTGCAGTGGCCAACCTGCTGTTTGGTATCGCCAATCCCAGCGGCAAGCTGGCGGAAACCTTTGCGCTGGCGCAGACGGATCTACCTGCTGATAAAAACTTCCCTGGTAAAAACCGCCAGGTGCAGTACCGCGAAGGTCCGTACGTAGGCTATCGATATTTTGACAGCGCGGATAAACCCGTTCTGTTTCCTTTTGGGCATGGCCTGAGCTACACCCACTTCAGTTACGCAGAACCTCAACCCTCTAGTGCAGAATTCACCCAGGGCGGAACGCTGCCTATCAGCGTGGACATCACCAATACGGGTGAACACGCTGGCGCGGAAGTGGTACAGCTTTACGTTAAAGCCCTACGTTCGGAAGTGTACCGACCCAGCCACGAGCTCAAAGCCTTTGCGAAAATTCACCTGGCGCCAGGTGCAACTGGCACCGTGTACCTCAGCCTGGACGACACAAGTTTCAGATACTTTGACCAGGGACATCGCGACTGGGTGGTTGAACCCGGCGAATACGAACTGCAGATTGGTGCTTCCAGCCGGGATATAAGACAGGTGCTCAATATTCAGGTTAGCTCAACACAAAAACCGAGCCAGATTGCGAAAGACATAGGCGATCCGTTAGCAGACAACGTCTTCAACGTCAGTGACTATGCGTTTGCAAAGATGTTAAACAAACCTGTGCCGGAGCCTGAATCCAGCCGACCCTTCCACGACAATTCGTCACTTCAGGAGGTAGGTGAAACCTGGCTGGGCGCCAGATTTAAAGCAAAAGTTGCCGCCGGCTTCCAAGCCAGCATGGGGGGCAACAGCAATGACGAGACCCTCAACAAAATGTTTGAGGAGATGGCCAATAACATGCCGATGCGCGGGCTTGCCCTTTTCAGTGGCGGCAAAACAAGCATGGAAGACATCAGACTGATGCTGGCGCTGCTCAATCACCGCTACCTGGAAGCCTTTAAGCGTTGGTGGAAAATCCGCCTGACCAGTTAGTGCGCATAACCGCCTAAATTTTTCTTCAAGGCACCGAGCAGCCGGGTGGTCAGGCCACAGAACAGCGTGAATTCCGCATCGTGGCGGGCCAGCGGGTCTTCATCATCAAGGTCATCGAGCTCTTCAATACCTTCGAGACGGATTTTTCTGACCACCAGCTCCTGATCCAGCGTGCAGCGCAACAGGCTGTCAAACGCGATACCCAGGCGATCGATAGACAAGCCCGCTTTCACATGTGCACGGATACTGCTGTCAGCCAGGTCCATATCCAACCAGTTAACCGTAGATTTTGTATCGCTTAAATCTTTCATGCGGCACTCGCGCCCGAGTGCAAACTGGTCCGGACCGGAGCCCAGGAAAATGTTTGTCATCAGAGTATGACCGGGCTGTTTATACTCCAGCGGCACTGCCTGCAGACTACCCAGCGCACCGCGCAGAGAATCCAGCATGCGCTCTGCGTTAGTCGCAGAAGGTGTGGCGACCGCCAGCATTTTGTCACTGCGAATATAGAACGCCGCAATACGATCAGATTTCAACAACGCCTTGGGCAGCAGCTCTCCATAAACCTCTTCTTTCAGCTCGCGCTTTTCTTTGCGCGAAGGCTCTCGACCCGTGCGACCCACAAAACTCGCCACCCGCTCGACCAACGCCTCTTTCACCGCTGCCTGAGGCAGCACCCGACTCTGCAACCGCAGCTGGAAAAGATCTGCACCCGCCAGACGACGCGCCAGCAGATCACCGGCGTTCTCAACCGGCGGCTCAAACCCCATGCTGCGCTCGCTGAACGCCGAGCACGGCTTAAATGCTGCATTTTCCAGCTGCCCGGACAGTTCTTCTTCGGTTTCAGGCCAATCACTGTGGATTCGGTAGAAGCGCAGGTTTTTTATCATAACGACCTTATTTTGATGGCGTGCGGGGGGCGCGGATTGTACCGTTAGCTTTGGAGGTATCTCAATGACCAAGAACATCATCGCCGTGATTGCGGCCCCGTTAATCTGGGGATTGATCATGCTGCCTGGCAACCAGGTAATTTTTCAGTTTTTTCCGGAAGCACTGGAAGGACAACTCTCCAGCGCCTACCTGTTCAGCGCGCTGATTGCCTCGTTTTTCTACAGCGCCATCGCCGGCGCAGGCGCTGCCGCCATTGCCAAACCCGAATTTGAGCAAATTGGCATGGCAGCCGGCATTGCCGTGCTGGCCGTAGGCGCATTAGTGCAATGGTCTTACTGGGACCTGTTCCCTCAGTGGTACCACATGGCCTTTCTGTTCTGGCTCATACCTCTGTGTATGGTTGGTGCGAACGTTGTACGAGGCCGACGGCTCGAAAATACCGAACCTGACGCGAATTTGTAGATATTTTTGCCCATTTTCGGGCAAATAATTCGTATAAATTCAGCTCCATGGCTATATTTCGCCCATGGAGCCCGAACTCGACAAAAATTTCATCGACTATTTATGTCGCACAACGGATCTGCCGACGGCAGTGTGCACCCGCCTGGCGCTGGATGTTCTGAATGAATACAGCGAGACCCTTGATGCGTTTGTAAAACGGCGGCACACAGATCTGAAGGCCACCACCGACCTAAAAAACGAGCAGATCTACGACCGTATCGCCGCTGAAATCCCAACGCGTCGCTTTGCAGTCAACAACCTCAGTGCGCGGCAGATCCGCCGCCTTATTTACGGCTAACCCCAAACCGGAGAGACCTTTATGTGCGGCATCGTTGGATATGTTGGCAGCAGACACGCCATGCCTGTATTGCTTGAAGGACTCGGGCGGCTCGAATATCGCGGCTACGATTCAGCAGGTATTGCCCTGCAGCGCAAAGACAAGTTCGATCTGTTTAAAAAGGCCGGCCGACTTGACGCTCTGCGCAGCACCCTCCCCAAACGCAACGCGGCAACCTGCGGAATTGGCCACACGCGCTGGGCAACCCACGGCGAACCAAACGACCTGAACGCACATCCACATGTTGATAGCTCTGGCGCAATATCCATCGTTCACAACGGCATCATTGAAAATGCTGGCGCACTGCGCACTTACCTTACGGAGCGGGGCCACACTTTTGCATCGGATACAGACACTGAAGTGCTCGCCGCCCTGATTGCAGATGAGTTCCTGCTGGACGAAAACCTGACCAGGGCCATTCGAAGCGCTGTGGCTCGTGTTGCCGGAACCTACGGCATTGTGGCTATGCACGCACAGGTACCCGGTTTGCTGGTTGCAGCACGCAACGGCAGCCCGGTGGTTATCGGCGTAGGCGACAACGAAATGTTTGTCGCCTCGGATATCGCCGCGATTGCACCTTTCACCAGACAGATCGTTCACCTGGAAGACGGCGAAATTGCAACACTGACAGCCAAGCGCCATGAGATACAGGATTTTCAGGCCACGATAACAAACCGGCCAACGTCTACAATAAAAATTGACACTACGCTCGCGTCAAAAGGTGACCATGAGCATTTCACTCTGAAAGAAATTGTTGAACAGCCAGATGCCATTCGTCGCACCTTGAGCGGAAGGCTGGACGAACGGTTCAATACTGCACATTTCGGCGGGCTCAATCTGAATGCCAAAGAACTTATGGCATTCAAGCGTATAAAAATTCTCGGCTGTGGCAGTGCCTACATTTCCGGCTCCATCGGAGCCAGCATGATCGAGCGGCTGGCACGCATACCGACTGATGCTGAATCCGCTGCGGAATTTCGTTACCGCAATCCCATCATCGACCCACAAACCCTTTACCTGGCCGTTAGTCAGTCAGGAGAGACCTACGATACATTAACTGCCGTACAGGAAATCCAGCGCAAAGGCGGCACCGTGCTCGGCATTGTAAACGTTGTGGGCTCGAGTATCGCGCGTCAGTGTGGTGCCGGCATGTATTTACATGCTGGCCCTGAAGTAGCAGTTGTCTCAACCAAAACATTTGCCTGCACGCTAACCGCGTTTGCCCTGCTGGCCTTGCACATCGGTCGAATGCGCGACGTTTCGCCCGCCGAAGGCGCAAACGTTATCCGCGCACTCAACGAGCTTCCGCAGCAGATCCAAAGCCTTATCGATCGACGTACCGAATTCGAGCAGGTGGCGAAGAAATACGCAGACTATCACCGCGCCTACTTTATCGGCCGCTGCGAAGGCTTCGGCCTGGCCAGAGAAGGCGCCCTGAAACTCAAAGAGATCTCATATATTCACGCAGAAGCGTACCCTGCTTCCGAATTGAAACACGGCCCTCTGGCGCTGATTGATGAGCAAACACCTACATTCGCCATTGTCCCGGATGATGACCTGCTTGCAAAAAATCTATCCACGCTTGCGGAAATTAAAACTCGCAAGGGCCCGGTAGTAGCCATCGGTCAATCTGAAGCGCTGAACGTTGAGATTGATGATTACATCCACGTGCCGCGCTACCATCCGCTAACAGATCCGATCCTGCTGTTAATCCCACTGCAGTTTCTTGCCTACTACACTGCGCTTGCGCGAGATTGTGATGTGGACCAGCCGCGCAATCTGGCGAAAAGTGTAACCGTGGAATAATAGTTATCCACGCACACACTGGTTTCTATAAATGATAGTGTCGGAGACAGAACGAGTTAAAACCATGGACCAACAGAGCGACTTCCGGATCGTAGAGTTTACCCCCAAGTACTCCGAGGCATTTAAGCGCCTGAATGTTGAATGGATCACACAGCATTGGGAACTGGAAGCAGCGGATGAGAAGACCTTGGACCGACCGACTGAGCATGTCATCGACAAGGGAGGGGCTATTCTGATTGCTCTTCACCAGAACAACCCCGTTGGATCTGTTGCCCTGATCCCGTACGACAATTCAACGCTGGAACTCGCGAAAATGGCCGTTTCGCCAGAAATCCAGGGCAAAGGGATTGGATTGATGCTTGGCGAAGCCGCTTTGGAACGTGCCAGTCGAATGGGGGCCGCAAGGGTGTATTTAGAGAGCAACACAATACTGGGCCCGGCTCTGTCCCTCTATCAGAAGCTGGGGTTCAGTTACCTTGAAAGCGCGACAGAGAATTCGCCCTATGCGCGATGCAATGTACGAATGGAAAAGTTTCTTTAAAGCGGCAGCGTATTTTATTCCAAGATAGCTCGCGTGCCAGTGGCTGGAGATGGCGGAATAGAGCCTCTCAGCGTACACGTTTGAATGTTGGCTTCGGAGGAACCTAAATAGGTTTCGAGCAGAACTCGTTTGCAGACGCCCAGAGACGTATCTCTATTGGCTCAAACGTGCCCAGAGCAGCCCTCTAAAGGC